CTTTTTCTTCTTACTTTTTGCGTCTCAGACTTTCTTCTGTGCTGACGAAGCACAAATCTAGTGTGTGTGTGTGTGTGTGTGTGTCTGGAGCTTATACTAACACAGCTGCAGGCCTAAGCTCACCTTTGTCTGTGACAGCCAGACAAAGTCATCTAAGCATAATAGGTGGTGGGAATTTAATCATACAGTTTTAAATGTCCGGGTTCTCGTTCTTTTGTAGGTTTTTAGATTTTTCTGTAAATCTTGTAAAAAGTTCCCCAATTTTTTTGTTGTGTGTGCGTTTGTGTGCAGGTCACGGCAGGGCGGTTCCCCGGGCGCTTACGATCGCAGCTTCAGGTGGAAGTATCACCAGTTCCGTTTCCTGTGTCATGTGAGTGTTTGACTGAAGTCTACAGGAACACGAAACGCACCCGTCCCACATTCACCTGCTCTAAAAGTCAGGAATGATTAAGGAATAAAAACACCTCACCCCATCGTGGAAGTTTTGTTCCAGTTCTTTTATTATGTTTGTATAAAAAAAGCAGCTTTAATCCGTTTTTAGTGCTGCTCATACACCAGAACGTTTCTTTGTTCCTCATTCAGAGATGTGACTGAATCAAGTCTGCTGCTGAATTTCAGCTGGTAACGCTTTAGGGAACACAAATGAACCATTAATTAGCCGCCAATTAACATGCATATTAGTGGACCGCTAAGTCTGAACTAGTCATTATTAAGCTCTTATTAAGAACTTATTACTAATGCTGTAATTCTAACATTAACAGGCCAATAAATTAGGAGTTTTATCAAAATAAGCCATTCATAATGGTTTGTTGCTGATTAACACGCGTGGCTTTTTACGAAGTAATTCAAGGGGAACATACTCTCGCCTTTAGGTGGTTAATTAATACTAAACTAGCTGGGGCTAGCTCAACAGCTAGAGCGGGTTGTCCAGTAATCGGAAGGTTGCAGGTTCCTTCCCGGCTCCAGACAGAGAATTCTGCTGTTGTGTCCTTGGGCAAGACACTTAACCCACTTTGCCTGCTGGTGGTGGTCGGAGGGACCGGCGGCGCCAGTGCTCGGCAGCCTCGACTCTGTCAGTGCGCCCCAGGGCAGCTGTGGCTACATCGTAGCTCATCACTATCAGTGTATGAATGTGTGTGTGAATGGATGAATGATACACTGTAGTGTAAAGCGCTTTGGAGTCCTTACTCTGAGAGGCGCTGTACGAGTGCGGCTCATTTAAACTGCTAGTAATTAAGTATGAACCAAATGGGGAACATGTTCTTGCTTACAAGCGGTTCATTGGTTGTTGTTTAGGCTCTATTCACATGTGGAGTTTGTGTTTATTTACATAATACCAGAACATAATATTTTTGGTTATTAACTGTTCCCCTTGAATGACTTCGTAAAAAGCCACTTATTGATTAGAGCTAATTAGTTTGTGTGTTAATCAGCAACAAACCATTATGAATGGCTTATTTGGATGAAATTCCTAATTTATTGGCCTGTTAATGTTAGAATTACAGCATTGGTAATAAGCACCTAATAATAGCTTAATAATGACTAATTCAGACTTGGTAGTCTACTAATATGCGTATTAATTGGCAGCTAATTAATGGTTAGTTTGTGTTCCCTAAGCTAAAGTGTTACCGTATTTTCTTACGTTGATGCAGGAACTGTTAATCCTGGTGAATCTGGTTTATTTGTCCTGCTGGAATAATCCTGAAGATTGCAGACGCCTGCAGGCTCACTTGTGCCTTTTTACCTGTTTGAACGACTAAATTCATCTCTAACCCGTTTATTTCTCGTCTTGCTGCAGTCCAACGCCTTGCCGAGCCACGTGAAGATCTCCGTGTCCAGACAGACTCTGTTTGAAGACTCGTTTCAGCAGGTCAGACAGAAACGCCCTCGAACACGCAAACACAGATCACGAACCTTCAGTCTGTTCTCTAAAACTCAAAGCTGCTTCATCGACTCCATAACAGGGTTTTAAAGATGAATCGGCTCGTGCCTCGTCAACGACACATGTAGAAAATCTAAAGAGTTTTGTGTAAAACGTTATTTCAAATGAACAATTCGTTGTAGATCATGAACGTGAAGCCGTACGACCTTCGACGTCGACTCTACATCATCATGAGAGGAGAGGAGGGGCTGGACTACGGCGGCATCGCCAGGTGAGCATCATCAACATAAACCTCTGCTTCGACTACGTCTCGCCGTCTAGAACGGCCTCCTTTCAGTTTCCTCTGAGACTTTGACATGATTTATGTTTTAGAGGACACCTGTAATGTTGGCGGCGCTACGTTCGCTCCAACTCTGATGTTTAATGTCGTAATGAGGCAGAGAGGTGTAGTTCTCGCTTTGACCTGATGGTGTCTCACTGTTACCGAACACAGGAAGACGAGTGTGTCCTCTGTGACATGATCCTGCAGCGCCCACCTGTTGGATTCAGTTTAAAACGATATTTTAAGTTTATTTATGACTGCATCACTCAAAATGAAGATGTTGTCTAAGATGAGGAGGATAATTACTTTGGTTGTTTGATCATTTCAAAGCAAAGTCCAGGTTTGAAAGTAACTCCGTTACAGTTGATCTTCTCCTTCAGCTGCCTTCGCGCTGCAGCTGTTAACAGACGAGGTGTTTCCTAGCAGTTAAAGCCAGAAAGTTCCTGATTTTCCCGGAAGTCCTCTACCTTCAGCTGCCTCGTCGGTGTGTAGGAAGAAAGAAAAGGTGCTGGAATATTTTAAAAGCAGTAAAGCGTTTGAATTTGTTCAGAGTCAGAACCACGTAACAGCGCTCTCGGTGCTTCATCCGCCCGTCAGCTGTTTTCAGTGAAAGACCATAAAATACAGAGAAAATGATGATTTTATTTATTTATTTATTTATTTTGTTAAATATGTTCACCGAAAATGTCTGAAGCCATAAGATTTGATGCTTTGTGTGTGGTGCAGAGCTGCAGACGCATGTACTGGTTTTAGGGGAGGTGTGCTGTTAATGGTTACGTTATCTTGTTGAACACCTCCGCTTCCAGCATCTCTGTCCTCCCCCTCATCACACATACCCACCTTACCCCCCACCCCTGCGTCTCTTTGTCTTCTTCTCTGTTTCTGTTGGTATTTTTCTGTTTGATTTTGGTTCTGTTTGGTTTCCGGTTGTGTCTCAGTCTCCGGTGTCACGTCAGTGGTTTTACCCTATGGTAGGTGACATCATGCTGTTCTACCACAGGGTAGAACCACGGACGGGATGTTGGGAGGTGTCTGCGTCCGTCCGTCCGTCCCTCCATACACCCCCACCCACCCACCCGCCAACCACCTGACTTACGCTAAAGGGTGGGCGGGGCCTTGGGAGCGCTCGGTGCTGCAGCAGCTGGTGGAGGGTCTTCATTCTCGCTAACATGCATCCTTCCACGCTGTCTTTGTTTTTATAATCTACCATGTTGTATTCATTCTCAGTGTTACGTGTCCCGTCTTCATGTGTGAGTCTTATTTTCTCTAAGTTTAAGTTTAATCAGAACAACTAACTGCAAATGTCATTTTACACAGTAAATCAGGCCGAGTTCACCTCTCATTTGGATTAATGATGATCTCTAGCTTCCTGTCTCTGTCCGTCTCAGGATGCAGTTTGAAACTTTTACAGAATCTTATTTTCATGCTTTGTGTTGATTTGAGCTCCGTCACACTCCAGCCTGGACCTTACGTACCGATCCAGACTCTGGCATAGACAGAACAGGGCCCACTTTTGCCTAATCAGACCTGAAAATCATCCATTGTGGCTTTTATAGTCAAGTAGGACGTCTCAGATCAACTCCAACGATTCCTGATTTGTGTTTCATTTGGTTTTGTTTTGTCATCATCTTAGTTTGTTTTTTATTACATTTTTATTCATAATAAAACATGAAAAATGTTCTTAAAGGTGTTATAGAAATAAAACAGACTCATTACAGAACAACTGTTCTGGGAACAATAGTTTAACCCTTTGATGCATGAATAATGAAATCTTCAACCATGATTTTTTAAACAATTTTTCTAATTTTTTTTTCACACACAAAAAAAGGAAAAAATAACAATTATTTTCATTCATCTTCAGATGCGAATGAAACAAATTGCAACAAATATTTTTTGTAACATTTAATAATTTACTAATAATTTATTACATGTCCACCTGAGTGGACGGCGTCACTCTGAATATGAAATATGTTGGCTTGCCTTACTGAAGTCCAGAGGGGCACAAATGCAATCAAGTCTTCAACAGCTGTGCTTAACAGCAAAAAAATAAAAATAAATAACAATTTTGAGTACCTTTCCGCTGTAGTGGCCATTATACATCAAAGGGTTAGATTTGTTTATTTTTTAGGTTTTTATTTATTTATTTGAACGCCCAAGAGGAGCTCATGTTGTTAAAACGAGTAGAAAAAGTCCGTCGTCGGTTTGTATTATTATATAAAGACGAACTAGAGACAGCGATGTGTAAAGTACTTTATTCTGAAACTGTTTTGTTGAACAATGTTTTAGTTTTTAAAGAACGCTGTATTTAGTTTTATAAATATCATGAAGTCATTGATGTGTTTGAATTGTTCATTGTGTTTTATTTATTTATTTATTTTTTACGTTCTTTGTTTGTTTCACTGATTTCTGTTCATTTGTCACCTTGTCATTGTTGCACCGTATTTTTGTTTTTCCTCCTTTGACGGTTTCTGTTCATGTTAAAGTCCTTTTTTCTAACAACAATCAGAAGAGTTTGTCTGAGTTGTCTCCTGACCCCGCAGTAATGTCCCCTGTCCTCTCGTCCTGCAGGGAGTGGTTCTTCCTGCTGTCCCACGAAGTCCTGAACCCCATGTACTGCTTGTTCGAATACGCCGGAAAGAACAACTACTGTCTTCAGATTAACCCCGCCTCCTCCATCAACCCCGACCACCTCACCTACTTCCGCTTCATCGGTCGCTTCATCGCCATGGTAGGCTTCAACGCTTTACACGCTCAGCTTTTCATGTCTGTGTTGAAGCAAAACCACATAAAATAAGCTGAAGTTCTCAATAAAGATATAAAATTATCTTATTTTATAAAACAAAGCTGCACTTTTAAGAGAGTTTTGTTTTAAATATGGATACTGCATACTGACTTTTAAATTATGGATCTGTTATCCATTGCTGGCTGATTTTAGACGTTTAATGTTGCCCTAAAATAATTAATTAAAAGTAGACTACTGCAAACATCTATAAAAACAATCATTCTTATTCTGTTGAGCTGCATTAAAATCGGCGTTTCCAGAAAATCTCCAAATGTTCTCAAGGGTTCTCACATGATCCTCAGAACTTCTTTCTCTTGTGTAGCTGGAACGTTGAACGTGTTCGAGTCTCGGGTTTCCTCCCAAAGTCGTCAGCGAGCCTTCGCTGGCACCAGGAACCGGTCCTGGACCCGTCTCACTTGGTTCTTTATATTTGTTTTCAAAAGAGAGAAGGGGCTTTGACCGGGGTGGGATTTGTAAACACAAGGGTAAATCGAGACTGATTTAAGACACCTTTGAGACAATAGCATCTGCATAAATGTCCCAGATTGTTTGATCTGGATAGAAATAAAACGTTTGCCGAAGTGTTGTCTGTTTCGTTAACTGCACAACAACCAAAACTGATCTATTCTGATTTATAAATTAGTAATCCATAGTTTTAACTCTTTGTTTGGGCCGTGGTGGACGAATTACAGAAAACTGTTTAGGACTGTAGAAGTGAGCAAGATGAGAATAATTTTGATTCCTTTGTTGTTGTTTTTTTGTTTACTTCAGAGAGAAGTGCCGTTATAGCATTCATATTCTGCAGCATTAGCTAAACATCTTTCTCTGAGATCAGCTCCACACCCTCCTTTCATCCCTCACCCACACCATGACCTCGCTGACACTTTCCTTTTCTCCTCACTTTTTTACCCTCAGCCTAAAATCTGTCAGAAGAAGAAGAAAATATCGTTTCTATAGCGCCTCTCAAGGTAAAAATCACGAGGCGCTTCACAAAAACAAAAAATGTAAAAATATAAAAAAGAATTTAGAAAATGGTTAAAAATATATTTAAAACTAGCAAAAAATAGATAATTGGGATTAAAAATGTAAAGAGAGAGAGAGAGAGTGAACAGGAAAGAGGGAACTCAGTGGATCCTGGGGAGAGCAGAACAAGGTTACACCAAAGCCTGAACAGGTGAGTCTTCAGCTGCTTTTTAAAGGAGATCACTGAGTCCACTGGTCTCAGGCTCAGGGGGAGAGAGGTCCAGAGTCTGGGGGCCACAGCAGCAGATGACCTGTCACCTTTGACCTTTAGCCACACCCTTCCCTGTTAGCAGGGAAGCTGAAGTGTGCTGTTGTTGTTGGCGCATTGCAGCGGTGAGACTTTTGTTGGTGTTCAATGTTAAACATCTGGCCGAGTGCGAACACGTTTGTGTCCACATCCTGACCTGTGACTCGTCAGCTTTCCTCCTGTAGAAACGTGATAAGAGTCGGCCGGATGTGAGTTTTTAAACAGCAGCAACGGCTCTCGTGGGTCGGGTGGCAGCAGAGTGGGAATTATTGAAGAATCTCATGAATTACTCTGGAAAAGCGGCAGTGATTCCTGGAATAAGACACTTATTTGTGTTTCCTGCAGAGAAGCTGATGAAAACCTTTGTAAAACAAAAAGCATATCCCAGAATAATACAGTAAAAATATTATGTCCGTGATGTTGTTTTCTCCAACCCGATGCATCGTCGTCTTCTTAAAGAGCAAGTCACCCCTTACAAGAAGCGTACTCCACTCCCACTTCATGTTTGAAAAATGCAACAAATGCTGTTGCCTAGCAGACCGAGAGGGTGGAGCCACTAACAAATACACACACTCACAACATTGTGACATCATAATGTACCAGTTTCCATCATAGCATACCTCTTAGCCAATAGCGATGGCAGATTTAAATTCAAATGCAGTGAAGAGTTTTTACCTGACGACGGCACAACACTGACAGTTTCAGGCAGAAAATTTAAATTTTAACTAAAGTGCAAAACTATTGACGACACGTGTCTGCAGCACGATTAGACATGCATTTATATAATTTATCAGAAAAAAATAGTTGATTTGGGGGTGACTTGCTCTTTAAATTGAGCCTGAGTCTTTGTGTGTTTTTTGTTTCTCGTGCTCGCTAACCTAGCCGGTTCTCTCTGCAGGCCTTGTATCACGGGAAGTTCATCGACACTGGCTTCACGCTGCCCTTCTACAAACGGATGTTGGACAAAAAACCAACTTTGAAGGACCTGGAGTCCATAGACCCAGAGTTTTATAACTCCATCATGTGGGTCAAGTAAGTAACAAACACAAAGTTTGTCTTGCTGGGTTAAACTCACAAAAAGACGTGAAACAACGACCACAGGGACAATTAAAACAACGTTGTTTGTTGCTGGACAGCACGGGTTTGTGCTCTGATCTCTGTTTCTGTGTCCAGAGAGAACAACCTGGAGGAGTGTGGAGTTGAGCTGTACTTTGCACAGGACATGGAGATCCTTGGAAAGGTTTCCACTCACCAGCTAAAGGACGACGGCGAGAACGAGCTGGTCACAGAGGAGAACAAAGAGGAGTACATCAGGTCAGCTGTTCGAACGGAGCAGACGAAAGAAGAAATGTCAAACCCTTTTTTTAAAGGGACTCTACGGCGTTTTGAATTTTTATGCTCGTGATTGCCCCCTCAGGCCAAACGCGTAACGGCAGCTTCAATAGTAGGCTCGTGCACGCGGCGCGCATGCTGTACGTGCACACTCCTTAACGAAAATAACAGCTGAGACAGTCCCGTGTGTGTGGGGGGGGGGGGGGGAGGGAGGAGGACAGGAGAACACGCAGCTAATTAATTAAATAATGTGGTTCTGTAGCTTTCTCTTCAGCACAGCCGACAAAGGTTTATGATGGGTCAGTCCTCCTGCATGCTCAGATCATTCCCTTCCCTTGCTTGAAAAATTGTTCCAAAATGAAAGTTGAACCCACATCTTTTTTATCTGTGAATTCAATGCCGTTCGGCGAGTCTCAAATATAAATTTGGGCATCTTACTGTAAAAAAAATTTACTTCTGCACGAAAGTCCAACGTCTTACCAGGTGAGCTAAAGTGCCAGTAACGTCATTCGTATCTGTAACATTTATATCCTTGATGACAGCTGAAACAACGTTCAAAGAACGGTTCGGAGTGAAAATGGCTATTTTGTTGCTAATTAGCAGGAAATATCTAGAAGAAAGTTCTACAGAAAGTAGCTAAGGGTCCTCAGAAATGTAGCTAGCTTTGTCACTAGGCGTTAGGAACAGCGACAAAGTGGCACTGCCTCTCTCTCTGCTGCTAAAGCTACGGATAGCAAATGCTACGGGCGATGCCTGAGCGTGAACGCGCGTGTTTTGGCTGTCAAACTTCCATAATGCCCCTTTAAAGGTGTGCTTGTCTCCTGCTGCAGCCTGCTGACAGACTGGAGGTTTACCCGCGGGGTGGAGGAGCAGACCAAAGCTTTCCTGGATGGATTCAACGAGGTGGTTCCTCTGGAGTGGCTTCGGTACTTTGATGAGAAGGAGCTGGAGGTGAGGAGAGGGAGAGAGGGCTGAAAGCAGGATTTGGTAAACAGTCGTGTAAATATCTGAACGTTTCCTGCAGCTGAGTGGTTTGTTCTTACATTCATTTAAAACAACACGATCTGCTTTCTTTGTTGCAGCTGATGCTTTGTGGGATGCAGGAGATCGATTTGTCCGACTGGCAGAAGAACACCATCTATAGACACTACACTAAAAACAGCAAGCAGATCCACTGGTTCTGGCAGGTACCGCCCCAGACTGTTCCCCTTCTTTATTGTGAAACGACACGAGTTTCACGCAAACACGTGAAATAAAATTAAATGCTTTCTTGTAGCATCAGCTTTGGTGTGCTGCTGAGTGAGCATCGTTGTTCGGTTTTAAGGCGCTGCACCGAAATGAAGCCTGGATTTCTCTTGCAGGACCCGGGTCTGCATCAGGGCACAGAAAATGTTGGGAGATCACTTTAAAATAACGTTTTTGTGGGTTTGTTTATCTCCTGCAGGTTGTGAAAGAAATGGATAACGAGAAGAGAATCCGTCTGCTTCAGTTTGTAACGGGAACCTGTCGGCTGCCGGTCGGAGGCTTTGCTGAGCTCATAGGTAAACGGTGTTCAGTGTGTTCACACGCAACACAGTAGGAACTCTTATGGCGCGTCTGTTCGTGATAAATACAAGCGTCCGGGGTACTTTAGGAGCAGAGTACACAGTATTTGTTTTTCTTTATGTTAATTAGGTCTTTAATCTGCAGTCTCTGCATCCACATGTGGTCAGGGTTTGAGTTTGAGAGGGCAGAAAGCGGGGAAGTCGTCTAGTTTTAGTAATTTAAGATCTATATTGTCTGATTTTTGTTGTTTTTTATCCTTGCAGGAAGTAACGGTCCCCAGAAGTTCTGCATAGATAAAGTGGGGAAGGAGACTTGGCTTCCAAGAAGCCACACATGGTACGACTCCATCTCATCGCTCCTGCAAACATTCACTTGTTTTAGTTCTTTTGTTAAATTAACATCAACTCATCTGAAAACAATGTAATCCCATTTCATCAAGAAGGTTACGACGGTTCAGAGCTACTTCAGCTAGGCTGATATTTTGTGTTTATGTAACTATGAGCTGAACTGCTGAACGGTGTTGGTCACCAGGAACAGACGTCATAAACACACGTGTGTTTTATTTAATGAGTGAATGTGATATTTTCATTTTGTGTCTTTTTCTTGTTTTATGTAATGCGGCGTTTTTCCACGTGGCACTTTAGCCTGAGACAAATGACCATTTTCCTCCACTGATCCGGTCGCGGGGTCAGCAGCCTGAGCAGAGAGGCCAGACTTCCCTCCCCCAGCCACCTGGGCCAGCTCCTCCAGGGGAATCCTAAAGCCGGGCGTACACTGTGCGACTTTTTCACTTTTTTGAGCCGATTTTCCAGTCGTGCGAGAATCCACGAGATCGGGGCGAGTTTTGCGCCGAGCGGTCGTGTAGTGTTCAGGGGGTTACGAGAGGCGATTAACACCACGTGACCAGCTACCGATCAGCAATCGTGAGCTCGCACGGACTTCTGGCGTGTTTGATATTTCGCTCGTCCCTCGTGAGGGTATCGCACTGTTGAAGCGGCGCTGCGAGCAGCTGCGACCCAAAAAGTATCAGAACCGCTCACGGCGCATTCCTGCATCAACGCCGCTCACCTGCTATTTCCCTAATAACACACGCTGTTCGTTTTTGTTTCTACACGTTTTTTACTCACAAAGATTGTCAAGAAAGCGTGTTTGTCGTGTTCATGTCAAATTAAACTGATCACTAAACACAGATTTGCTTTCTTTATTTCGTTTTCCTCATCCAACCCCCATAACTCCCTGTGTGTCCTCCTGCAGCTCTCCCGAAGGACAACAGGCAAGACAAGACAAAAAAGTCTGACTTGTTGTGTAAAAACTGCTATTTTTAGCACATTTTTAGGGCCGACGTGTTGCTACCAGACGTACAGCGTGAGCAGTCAGGTCGCATCCGAGAACTGGGTCGTGCAGTGTGAGCGCATGACTCGTGAGATCTGTCCTGCGAGGAAGTCGTACAGTTTGAGCTGAAGCTGAGTGCTACGAGTGAAAAAGTTGCACAGTGCCCGCCCGGCTTAAGGCGTTCCCTGTCCAGCTGAGAGACATAGTCCCTCCAGCGTCTTCCTTTAGGTCTCCTTCTGATTGGACATGCCTGGGAAACCTCACTTAAAAAGTTCTTCTTTGTTTCCATCTAAAATACACCTTCTTAAATCTGATTATATAAAAATATCCGTTTTCTAATTTGAGTAAAAAAACAGTCCCCCCCCCCCCAGAGAAATGCATCTAAAATGAGGATTTGTCTCTTTTCGTAATCAACTGTTCTTTCCGAATAAATAACCCGTTTTCTTCCTGTTGGTCTGATCTTCTCAGCTTCAATCGTCTGGATCTGCCCCCCTACAGAAGCCTGGAGCAGCTCAGAGAGAAACTCCTGTTTGCCATCGAGGAGACGGAGGGATTCGGACAGGAGTGACGTCCTTTCCTGCAGCAGGACTTTACTTACCGATCTTATTCTGCCTTTTGTTAATGACAGGGCTGAAACCCACCAGAAGCCCCTGACCTGCACGAGGATTGTGTTTGTGAACTGAATTATTGGAGGATGTGTGTGAAGGTGGACATGTGTGTGTATGTGCGTGTGTGTGGCTCCTCCTAATGTTTGTGTGCTTGACAGGATGGCACATGCATCCCCCCATAGCCCTCAGCTTAGACCTGCACCAAAAGACAGACGTCATTATGGCCTTAATGATGACGCACAGCCACAGCACAGCGACCCACAGATGCAGTATAACATATCTAGCAGAGAGAAACCCACTTTCTACCGTTTTCAGTAGACGGCAGCGTGTGAGAGAAGCCGGCCTGCACAGCTGTTGGGATGAACTAAGGCACCTCTGTTACAGAGGACTCATTATTTTTAATGTTTCTGTTAATTGTGAAAGTCAGCGTTTCCTCTTGTACAGATCCGAAATAAACCAGATTTCAGTCTCGATGTGTGATGATGTGTTTCTTTCAGCTGCTATGAATAGGAAAGGAGTTTTTCCTGAAACTGTCGGAACAAACAGACGTAAAAAACAGTTTATTATATCGGTGTATTTAATATAAAAACTACTCAGTGCTTTCATTTGTTGTGTTTCATAAATCACTTCGTTGTGCTTGTTGGTTTCATTTCGTCAGTCGTGTCAGCCTTTTGTGTTTGATTAATATGAACACGATGTACCTTTGATGTCTAGAAGTCTAGAGACTTCAAACTTTTAACATTATTTACAAGTAAGTCAAACCTTCACATGAAGGGTCACGGTCTGTAAAGCAGATGTGTTCAAAGGTCATTTGTGGCCCTAAAATGGGAATTTGTGTGGCCTCCAGAAGGGTGGAGTTTTATTTTCAGCAGACTTTTGATGACTTTTTGCTTTTTAACATTAAATGTTCAGTTTTATTAACGTGAGGCATATTTTAAGCAGTAAAAATAAAAAGATATATTTCACCGTAAGAGTTTTGAGGAAAACCACATTTATGTGGCCCACAAGGACCGTTAACTCAACGACTTTAGTCCTCAGCTTAAAAGTTTATTGTAGTGAATCAATTAACAAGTTTTAGTCTGGATAAAATTTGACATAAATCAAAAATATTAAACTTTTATCCCCATAAATAAAATTTTTATACTCATCCACTAATCTGAAACCTGGGTTACTGTCTGGTAGAGTTGCAGAAACTCCCTGACTTTGTACTTGTTTATTTCAGTCACCAAAGATAACTTGAGTACTGTTGACAAAATGAAATCCAGCCTCTGAATCTCAAACCAAAAGTCTAACGGGAGCGATTGTTCACATTGATATAGTTCCACCAGAGCCGGCAGCATTTTCCACTCATCAGCTTGTGGTTTGGCCAGCAGGCTTGCAGTAATTGGAAATACATGCTTGAATATAACTGTACAAACAGACTTTTGTCATGTCATACCACTGTCAGTGTCCCATTGGCTGTTCAGAACGTGTCCTCAGGCCAGTCATGATTACACTCTGAAAATGGATCTTTTAGCAGCTGTAGGAAATTCTGCAGCGGAAATGTGCAACGCAGCGTAGGACAATCACTGAATCAACTTACTGAAGACTAACACAAAGAAGGACCCATGAGTTTGGGATGCCTCTAGGAGCTCCTAATGTTACCATATGTCCTGAAAGAGATGCAGAACAAATAACCATTATACTAGTGAAATGCTTTTTCATAACTATAACATAATTGTGTCATATAACAAACATATATATATAACTCTGAAATAGGTTCTTTACTGAATTATTTGACTTTAAGAGCATTTTATGTGTCCAGGTGATCCATAAACTAAAAACGTGTAGGGAAGGTCTAAAAATGGGTGAAGCATATGATGACTATTCCCCAGGAAGATATTTTTTTATTATCTGGTGGACTGTAGGCAAAGTGAACAGAAATGTGGGATGCTTGAAGCATTAGCTGTGAATGAAAGCAAACGAGTTTCAATAAAATGTACATCTCCATTTTGAGACTTTTATTATGAAAGTTACTCACTTCCTGTTAGAGGCCGGAAGTGATCTCTTCGAAATTTAGCTCTAGAGAGCGTTTGAGTCTCATAAAAAGATCGCTTTGTTAACGCTGGTAAAAGTTAAATTATATCGCACTTTAGTTTAGGACATATTTGCACGTGTTTAGAAACACGTTTCAGCCTGTTTGATATGATAAACGCGGACGACATCGCCCGGTTGTGTTACGATCGTTTCAGCCAGCTGCCGCGGAGAGGGAAGCCCGAGCCGGGCAGAGAGTGGACCCTGCTGGCCGCTGTGGTTAAAGTTACCCGGCGTGAAGACGCTGATTCAGGTTAGTCAGCAGAACTAACCACATTACACATATATATATATTGATGCCAAAAAAGCATGGCGTTTTGAGAACATTAAAAACATACCTACAATCAAAAACAGTGGGAGAGTAATGGGATGGACTGTTCTCTTCAGAACCTGAACTTGAACAGGTCTGGTGGATCAGGACAAATCCCTTTTTAGGCTTATGGACACCACATAGACCATCTATAAATGACATTTGTTTCTTTTTAACGGTACTTGCTGTGAGATGTCATGTCACATCCAATAAATCCTTGTTTTTGCAGTTGAGAAAGAGGTTGTTTCCTTGGGAACTGGGACCAAATGCATTGGACAGACAGCAATGAGTCCCAATGGTATGTGTTCTTGTTAGTTGTTAATCCCAATTTTAATTACTTAATATTCAATCTCTCTGTACCTGCTTTGTTTTGACAGCTTATTTAAGATATGTGTTTTCAGTTTTGTGTTTGATTTTAATATCTTTCAATCTCTTACTTAAATGCATCGATTGATGAGAATAGAAAGAATTTCTGCTTTCACACACAGCCTTTTTAGATCAATATCTTCCGCTGATCTTTGTTTAAAATGCAATTATGAGTTTGTTTTATTATGGACAACAATCTGACCATTTCTTTATTGTTGCTTTCTTTGCTTTTAGGGGACATACTCAACGACAGCCACGCAGAAGTCATTGCAAGAAGAGGATGTCTCAGGTGAGGTTTTTCTATCTGTATTGGGCTTATTTAGGTTTTTGTTGTTTTGTGATCCAAACTGAGCAGAAACTAAATCTTTTCGGCTGCTGGTGTTGTTCATTTGCAGGTATCTGATCCAGGAGCTGCACAGAGCTGTTAGCGGTCGGGGCAGTTTGGTGTTTTGTTCAGCTGATGAACGAGGGAAGTGGAGGCTTCGGCCAGGAGTTTCCTTCCTCCTCTTTACCAGTCACACTCCCTGTAGGTCCAGTAAGCTGCCTGTGTCCTTCACAGATTACTGGGATTCTGTTCATGTGTTCCAGTGTTAAAAATCTCCTAAATGAAGGAACCTGGACTGGTCCTGACTCCTGTTCTTCCATCCGCAGGTGGAGATGCCTCCATCATTCCTATGACTGACAGCGAGTCTCAGCCATGTCCTCCTGTCTCCTCTGTAAACAGTTTTGAATGGACTGATAGACGAGGAGACCTAAAAAGGAAAGCTGAGGAACCGGGACAAGGAGCCAAACCAAAGCTGCCTCATCTAGAAGACATGCAGAAATCAGAGACAAAGAATGAAGATGCAGAACAGGACAGCCACACATATCCACAGAGCCGAGACATTCACAGAACCGGGGCTAAGTGTGTCCCAGCTGGCCCAGAAGACTCTCTGCACCCTGGGGTGGGTTACCACAGTACCGGTGTTCTCCGAGTCAAGCCGGGCCGAGGAGAGCCCACACTGTCGCTGTCTTGCAGCGACAAACTGGCTCGCTGGGGTGTGGTGGGCTTCCAGGGTGCTCTGCTGTGCCATTTCCTGGAGGAGGCTCTTTACTTCAGCACCGTGGTGGTGGGGAGGTGTCCTTACAGCCGAGAGGTTCTGCACAGAGCTTTGGTCTCACGGTGAGGAGGACCAACAACATTTGATGCCATCTCCATCAATATACCATAAATCCTCTAATACAGGCCGGGCCTGTATTTGACTCAAGCTCATCAAGCTCCAGGCCTTTATTGGAAGGAGGGCCAGTATTAGAGGCAGGCCTCTATTTCTATTTGAGCAAAATGAACTAATGGTTCGCTGGAGTTTTTGACGATTAAAATTGCGCCCACATTTTCAAAGTTAAACACATTTCTTTTAACAACGGTAGTTTCTGCTTCAGCCCTCCCCCCCCTCCCCCTGCTTCAGCCCTCTCCCCCCTCCCCCTGCTTCAGCCCTCTCCCCCCTCCCCCTGCGCAGCGGCCGCAAACTCACTGATGCGCCTGCAGCCTCTCGGAGTTCCTGCTGCTCTAAACATTAAAATAATTATTTCATTTTCTGTTCCTCACTTCTGATTACCTTCAGTGGTGTCTGTTTGTTGCAACCAGCAGGTACAAAAACTAACTTGTTTTTATTTGACTATTTTTCTGTCCTGACTGTTTATTATCTTCCTGCATCTCCTCTCAGTCCTAAAGAGAAACTGCTACCTGGCTTCATATATATTCACCTTATGAGTTACCTTTGAACTGCAGTTCTAAAAGATCTACCGACCGCAAAAACAGCGGAGTTCTCGCTGCTTGGCGGCCGCATCAGTGATCGGTGCGTCACCGGAGGACAAGGTGATGCGCCCCGCTCCACAGCAGCGAAACACATCAGGCGCAAATAAAAGACAGAAAACATTAAAGGAAATGAACCGACATGAACAATCGCGTGTCAGTACCGACGCTCTGGCACAGCGCGTCCCCCCCCCCCCCCCCCCCCCCCAAGCGCAGGAGCTTGTCACCTGCTGACAGCAGGCTGCTGTCCTTTCCGAGGGCTGCATCTTGCCGGTCATTATCACGTGACAGCGACTAGTCGACGACAGGCATAAAAAGTCACTATAGAGCGGTGAAGTCGACTAGTGACTAGTTCATACAACCCCTGCTATTGTTCCCCAGAGTGTTCTGCAGCATAATCAGCACGTTCTCTTTGAACTTGATATCAAATTTTCGCCTCCTCTTTGTCTCCGCACGGTTAAAGTTACCCTCGCGGTCTATCACTGGCAAATCAAAAGTGAGACGATGACACAACCACCCCCCATACTTGCTTGTTACCACATTCCACCCGGCCACAATAAGAGACCGGCCATTATTCACCCCCCGCCGACTCCGGCCATAATATGAGACCCGGCTGTTAATTGAATACAGGCTAATATTAGAGGATTTACGGTAGTTAGAAATCATATTTATGGAGAAATGTTGCAACAAACTAATGAACACAAATCAAAGTCAGATGACATTTCTGAGGTTACCTTATAAGGAAAATACTCTGCTGGGTCATTTTGCAGCTGATTTATCGTTGTTTCTCTTTATACTAATAATCCGTTCATCTTTAACAGGCAACAGTGGTTTTCCTTCACAGGTGCTCCCACGTGTCAAACCTCCCCGCTGGGTTCTCTGTACGTTCTCCAGAGCTGCTGCAGTCAAGCCTGGAGTTTCCCTTCAGTCGGAACCAGACCGAGCTCCGACACCGGGCCGAACAGGGACGCGTCTCCGCCTGTGGAGCGGGTACGGTCGTTCACATTCACTTTAGCGGCACATTCAGTGAAGATAGAAACACAGCAACCTAAGCAGGGGGGCCCGGACCCCCCAGCCACTTGAACGAGCTCCTCCGGGAGAGTCCAGAGGCATTCCCAGTCCAGCAGAGGAACGTAACTCTACCAACTCTCCCCAAATGTTTAAGAACAAATATTAATGAAAATAAAATGTGTGTTTCAGCCATAAGTTGGTGTAATGTTGAAGAACTGCCACTAGATGTCACCGCTAATGGCTACAAACACGGAGTAACCAAAAAGGCCCTGGGCACGCCGAAATCCAGGTAGAGCCTGTGGATTTCCCTTGAATTCAATTTTCATTCTCATTTATTTTTACTTTTTGTCTGAATGTTTGTTTTCAGGTCTCTTTTATGTAAACTGGAGCTTTTCCACTCCTTCCTGTCTCTGGTGGCAGCCACAGACCTTCCGTCTCTCCCAGATTCGCTCAGGTAAGACCCAGGGTTTCCTCCCCAGAGGCCCAGGCCCGGCGCTGCGCCACTGACCTCCCGTTAAAGAGAAGTGGTTGTTTTATGTTGTGGGATTTTCCTGTAATTATCCTGCTTCTTACTGGTAGTTTAGCAACATTTCTCAGGGATTAAAAACTTAGTTCTTGAATTTCCAGAACAAACCTGTTCGGCTGGTTGTGACAGGAAGTCATCCGGAGGTGAATCAGAGAGGGTTTTTTTATTACTCATCAAAGAATAATTCACTAACTAAAGTCTAATAATTCATCATGATCAGGTGTCAGAAACTAATAACGGTAGGTAAAGTCCAAGCAAGTCAACAATTTATCAAATCTAAACTCCAAATGTCCACATTTGAATAAAAGTTTTATATTTTCAGCATATTATAAAATCTGCATCCACTGGGATTTCATTTATAACGTTTAAAAACATATTTAGCAGGAAGTTGATTTTAGATTAAATTCCAGAACTTCATTCTTCGTTTCATTATTTCAGGCGCCTTTCTTACACCCGAGGTACAATACAACACAAAAAGCACACAATAACAAGAACTACTTAGAGATTCAAGTTTATACCAACATGTGCATTCCAAAGCAAGACACTCGTAAAGGTGCATATTCATATCAATTATACGGTGTTCGAATAAGAAGTGGGATGAAGCAACGGCTTATTAGACCCCACCCCTTTCCGTCCAGGTTAAAGGAAACAGTTTCCATGTGTGCAGTTGTCCTTGCACAGACAGCAGGAGTTCATGTAGATGCAAAAAGTTGCAATGAAGACATGTTTGCTCGTTTGTAAATGACTGCACAAAAACAAATATATTCTTTCATTTATTTATTTATAAAGCCCCTTCTGCGACCACTGCAGATGCCCAAGGTGATGAACACAACACAATAAAAACATAAAACTATCAGAATAAAGTATAACAATCGTAAAACCAACATAAAATCAATTAAAAGAGGAGAGTAAAAACAAAAAAAATCCTGAAAATTAAGAGGCCGGGGCAACAAAACTGGGTAAAAATTGCTAATCCTGGAATGCCTTGACAAAAAAAAAGGGTCTTAAGGCGAGTTTTAAAACCCCCCAATGAGGGGGCAACTGGTTCCAAAGAGCAGGTGTCAACACGAGAACGCACGGTCCCCCCGTGACCTGTACTTAGTGCGTGGAACCATCAACAGCTACCTGCCGGCTGAGCGAAAGGCCCGCGAGGGGGCGTGTCTATGCAAAAGGTTTCCAAGATATGCTGGAGCCGTTCCTTGTAAGGCCTTGTGTGCCAGTACCAAGACCTTAAATTTTGCCCTGTATTGCACAGGCAGCCAATGAAGGGAGGCCAACACAGGGGTGATATGTTCCCTGCGCCTTGTGCCTGTCACGAACCTAGCGGCTGAGTTTTGTACTAACTGCAAGCGTGCTACCGCACCCTGACTTTTATATAAAAGTGTTTCAGAAAAAAATCACTAATGCGCTATCTATCAAACTATGTCTTAAACGTTCAAATTTAAAGTAAAAAATCTTCGCAAGTTGTAAAAATATAAATCTGTCTTTACCTGAACCGTCATTTCCATCTGGTGTTGCAACACGCATGCGAGTTCTCTTGTCTTCGAGCATGCATGCGTCTTTTGTCAATAATACCTAGCTGCAGACTGGGCGGGCAGCCGTTATTGAGATATTTCCCTTTTCTGACCACCAGGGGAGCTCGGGGGAGCTCAACAGGCACATGGGGGCGTGTTTGGTCGGGGGTGTGGTTTGTCGGGGCTGCGTCTGCAGCTAGACCTTACTCGAATTTTGGGGTAAGGGTCTACGTAGGGGGCGGGCGTATTACGTGAACAGACCCATCTGATTGGCCGCATATCAGAAGGGCTACATTTGATTGGTCAAATAATACTTCCGCGTAAAAAACAGAGCTGGTTTACAAAAAGCTGATGGATGACACGGATGGAAATGTTTGAACCAAACATTTATCGCCGTTTTTGACGTGCTTTGCGATGGGCCTATCGCACGTCCTGTTATCGCGATGACGATAATTTTTCGATATATTGTGCAGCCCTAGCTCCTTATATAGGAAACATTATTTCTGATTGGCTTAATGAACTGACCTGAATTGGAATGTTTATTATGTGAAGTGCCTTGAGACGACTCTTGTCGTGATTTGGCGCTTTATAAATAAAATTGAATTGAATTTAATTGATGAGAATGAAGGACAAATTTGTCCGTGTTATAGTCTCTGAAATATTTAAACACAGTAAGTACACTATCGGGGTCTGGATTCATGAGTGTTATGGTGGCAGGATACCACAGAAAAGCGCCACGCCCTCTGTTGGCCTGGCAGGGAATTACTTTGCAACGCTCCGCTTTCCGACTCCGTGTGCGTCTCTCCATTGCGGAGCTCACGGAGAAGTATAAATCAGGCGTTAGACTACCACTTACATGCTTCAAATTTAAGGAATACCTCGGCTGATGCAGTGTTGATGAACTTTTCACGGACAAGTAAGTATTTAAAATATAAATATATGAGAACACAACATGACATGAGAAAAATACTTGTAAAACAGCGTGTTTTAGCTGTTATTCGGCTGCAGAAGCCCATTCATAAACAAGAAACGTGAATTCACCATCTTAAAAAAACAGAGCGACAGACTTTTTGTGTGATATGCTTGTCGGCCACTAGATGGCGCCATCGTATAAGATAATACTCTGGAAAGAGACATTAACTCCACATCCAGAATGATAATGAATCGCGGACGCGTGTGTGAAGCCCCACCAATGCGCCGTCAGTAGGCGTGTCGGCCCTGTTCGGCTCCAGCAGACCGCCTCAGGAGGAGGGCTGAAAAGACGTCCGGTTGCGTCCGGGAAAATCCAAGGCTACCTAAATGAGAACACACCAAACCCGGTCCAGACAGAGTGGAGCCGATGCTCGCGTGTAAGTGCCAATAAATATGCAGACACACACACAAATCAATACAAATCCATTCCCATAGACATATACACGGATACAGAGTCTCACATGCACACACATACATATCTCTCTGTCATACACCTATCTGCCCACCTATGTCATCACAAGTTTTCCTTAGGTGTTACGAGACCCGTAAATACGCATATATACTACATAGTACAAATCTCTTAATCAGTGTAGTCAGTGAAAATGACATTTTGTGTCCTGTTCTTTATTTTTTTTTTGCTGTGTCATGTTTGGAATTTGCTTTATTACTGAACTCAATCCATCCATAACCTTTCTCCACAGAAAGAAATACACCAACCTTTCTGTCAGCAGCTGTTTGAAACAAAGCTCTCCCCTTTCTGATATCCTTCATCTCCGGCTCTGCACAAAAGAGAGGCAGAGGTTTTTTACACGCGCTTACAACACCTTCATCCTTGTTTTTCTTTGTACAGCAAATATGTCGTTTATTGGAAGAGACGAGCCAAAAAGTCTTCACAAAACTTATATAGTTGAGAAAATTTAGACTTCCGTAAGTCACGGCCAACTGTCATTTTAACCATTTTACTCTTCACGTTTAATCTCTAATGTCCGTAATGTCTAGTGTCCGTTTGTAAAAGTCTAATTTATCCGAGTGAGCTCTTGCTTCAATGTGGCTCTCGTCGGAGGCAACAAAAGAAATAGTGATGGATGAAAATGGGCTTTTGTTCCTTATCTTTCTGGCGTGATGTCATCATTTTGACTTTTGTTTGGACGTAAATGCATCAAGTCGATCCTGCATACCAGGAAATGGATAAGAACCAGTGCAATAATGAAAGTCCCCTCTGTGTGTGTGTGTGTGTGTGTGTGTGTGTGTGTGTGTGTGTGTGTGTGTGTGTGTGTGTGTGTGTGTGCCAACAACTGGGTAACTTCTTCAGAGGAGCAACAGAGGTTCGTCTGTTCATCAACATTTCAGCTGATACCTTATCTGGCTACTTCTTTTTAACACACACACACACACACACACACACACACACACACACACACACACACACACACACACACCTGAAGGGACTGCGATACGAGCCGATCTGTAAGACAGTAAAATCTTTTAAAACCGTAGTTTGTGCTACAACTTCTGCTCAGCTAGAACTTTGCTTTTAAAGCACTTTTCAAACACTGTTGAATCTCAGAGGACTTCATAAATCATAAAAATACAGCAGAATCAAATAAAACTGATTTGCGTGTACTAATAAAAGTAGAAAATCCAAAAAAAAAGCACCCAAATTAAATGTTTAACATTTACAAAAAGGCAGATAAAAGTTTGATAACTGAACTGTGCCCTAGAGACGGGAGATACTTGTTCCTCTAAAAACAAAATGCACAGCATCAGTTTCTACATCTAGACCCAGTAACAGCAGGAAAGACGTCTACTATCAATAAATGACTAAAATCCCAAGAAAACAGCTTCAACTGATGTTAAACCTCCTATTTATTTATTACTACTAGTTTTAGTTTCTGATAGAAGTTGTAAAGTAGATGCGATTAAGAATACATTTTTCTGTTCTCTTTAATAAATGGAGGTCATTTTCAAGAGCCACAGTGGGAATTTGGGAATTACTTCCTCAGATAGGCCAAGGTCACATTTATTTCTAAAGCACGCTTATTATTGCTTCCGCAACCCAAAGTGCCGTACAACACACACGACAACATAGCAAGAAAGTAGAACTAAAAACCATAAAACCATTCAAATTTGCAAGTTAGGATAAAAACAGCATTACATCACACGATTATAAAATCAGTACAAATGAGAAAGAATCATGATGACAAAATAAAATCGTCCTACATAAAAGCCAGGGTGAATAATTGAGTTTTAAGCAAGGACTGAAAGACATCCAGACTTTCTGAGGTCCTGGTCTGCAGAGGAAGACTGTTCCAGAGCGGGCCGGCCACAGAAACAGCCATCTCCTCTCGTCTTTAGGCCAGCCCGACCACAAATTCCTGGCAGGAGTGTAGTTTGACAATAAATCATCTATATAAGGAGGGGCCAGACCATAAAGTGATTTATAAACAAAAAGCAACAATTTCAACTGAATCCTGTAATAGGGATGCACCGATCAGGTTTTTTGCTGCCGATCACCGATACCGATCACCGTTACCGATCACGTGGATTGGCCAGAAATTTTCTACAACATTATAATGAGTGCTACAAACTACATAATCTGGGAATAAAGGAAATGTAACCTAATCTAAAATGGTGTGTATTAGGGTGTGAAAATTTAACCTCACGGTTATTGTGACCAAAATTACCACGGCTTTCGGTATTATCGCGGTATTTTTTTTAAACGTGCTACATTTTCACACAACTAAATAAACCCTGTATGTCAGGAAATATTGTCCTCAGTTTGTGTCTAAATTTAGCCTAAAATGTGTTATTTTGTATTTATGTTGTTTATTTGTTTACATTTTTCCCCTTTAGTCTTTAAAATACCAATATTTGCCCATAACTTCTTATTTTATGTCTGTTTGATGTCATCATTTTAAAAATATTAGATCAGATGGTACTCAGTACTCAAGTAGCCTTCTAATCAGATACTTTTTTACCCTTACTTGAGTAATAAACCCTATATCAGGAAAATATCGTCCTCGGTTTGTGTCCTTCCAGTGAGCTTTGCAGATGTGGGAAAATGTCATCAGGCAGTAATCATTGTTAAATTCATAATTATTCTCGGAGAGAGACCAACTCTTATCTGCTCCTGGGAGCCCCGTAATGCATAGCGTCATTTCAACATGGGGGTGTCCGCGACACGGTTTATATGCAGGTAGCGGCGCTGCGGCTGCTTTATATAGCGACTCGTTGCATTCTCCCTCAACCCAAATCCTCGGATCACGCATTTTAGCTAAATAACACGTTAGCTTGCCTTGCGTTGACTGTAGAGTTGTGGGTGATGGTCACGCAGATGTGTCATGAGATTTGAAGCGTTGCTGCCTTTCACAGACACTTTTTCTGCACGTGCTGCAAACAGGATAGCCGTCTTCTATCAGCTGTCCCTCGGCATTCTTCAAATACCCAAAAGATGCCCGTACTTCCCACTTTGTCTTCTTTGAGGGATAATAAATGTCCTGAGTGCTGCCGTCTCCTCCTTTGGCCATTATTTCAGCTTTAGCTTCAAGAAAGTTTTGGTTGTAAACAACAAAGTGCGCATGTGCCGCCGGCAACTTCATCAGATGATACGGTGGCTGGTAAGGGTCACCGCGCCTACACCGCAGCCACGGTAACCCACCGAGATAATATATTTAAAAAACACAAGACGGTTATTATTATTGTCACTTTTTTTACCGGGGTTTACTGCTACACCGGTTACCGTGACAACCTTACCTGATCGGTCTGCTTTGATCTATTTTGAAAACTCCGATCAAAACCGATAGGGGCGCTATCGGCCGATTGGGATCAAATGCCGATCCATCGGTGCATCCCTATCCTGTAATGCACTGGCAGCCAGTGAAGGGAAGCAAGCACTGCTCAAGGTAACTTTATTAATACCCGCAGGTAAATTTGATTTGCCATGTGACACGAGAATTAGCGCCCAGGTTACACAAACAGTCACAAAACACACACATCAATAAAAAATATAAACAATACATGAATAAAAATATAATAAAATAGCCACGCCAGACTCAGTTCTTATTGAGTAACGTTACTGCCTCAGGAATAAAGCTCATGTTATACCTCTTGGTCCTGCACTTTGGCACGATAAATCTCCGTCCAGATGGCAGGAGAGTAAACTGGGCATGCTTTGGAGAGATGTGGTCATGCTTCCTTGTACCTGTTAAAAGGCGGGCTGCTGCATTTTGAACCAGTTGCAAGCGGTTTAAGGAGGAATGCCCTAATCCAGTGGTTCCCAAACTTATTTAGCCGCGCACCCCCTTCTACGTCCCGACCATGTCGACGCACCCCCCCCCCCCAGCCCCCACATCAGGGCATGGCTATATATATATATATATATAATCAGACGTCCAGCTAAACAGACAGGGTTAAAAAAATATGATCGACCTTTTTCCCCATCACTTTCATTTTTTAAATAGTAATTAATAAACATTCGATACATTACAATTTCCTTTGATTTCATTTTAAATAAATATTTAGAGTGTCCAGGTAGCACATAAACAATGCAATTTAACGGTTTTCTTAAAGTAGGAACGTTTAACCTGTGCGGCCAGAGCGCTCTCCTTCCTTCTGCTCTGCGTAAGCCTGAGCTGATCACCTACTTGTGCGTAATCAAATGTCAATAGGGGACAAGATATAGCCATGATGTTCACTTTTACCTCAGACCGACTTATTGCTGTTTGATGGTGTGGCTGAATCTGCGATCCGCTGCCACGCTGACTGGAATAACAAATGCTGCATAACATGAGTTGTGGTCAGGTTCATGAGGAGTCACTGCTGGAGCGGACCCGACTCATCCCAGAAGCTAAGATCTTAATTTGACCTTGAATGAAAAATGTTGTTATAAAACCTCTTAAAAGTTTTTATCACAGAGGAGGCAGCGCTCATTTCTGCCTTCAGTCTGACGGCGCGCCGGAGTTAAAGCAGCGTGCGCGCTTATTGAATCTGTGTGTGTATGTGTGTGTGTGTGTGCGCGCACACGTGCGGCACAGCCGCTCAAGTCACCGCGTCTCGCGCTATTTAAACCAACGTTGTAAAATGACTTCTGCCCAGCCCAGATGTGCTCACTTGTGCACCCGTGAGCCGTGGTTCATCCGGAACGCGTCTGACCTCTGACAGACGCACTCTGAACTTCAGATCTTCAGCGCGCTGTCAATAGCCTGAATGGGAATCATTTGTTGATTCATTTAGTTACATCCACAATGTTCTGTGTGTGAGGTTTACAACGTCAGAACACCTGCATGAGACAGGTGTTAATTACAATCTGCCAGAATGACTCGCCACCTTCAGATTCCTCCAACACCATTAAAATGATCAAATACGGAACATATCGGCGTGCGCAGGCCAGAGCGCTGGAGCTCGGCGCATTGTTATTATGAAGCTAGGGCACATGTGGAGGACACACACACGCACACACACGCAAAATATACTTGTTTTCAATTACATTTATTGTGCCCACTTACTTTTTCTTTGGCCCGCCCACAAATGAGTTTCTACGCTAAAGGTGACATCTGACAGACTTCTCTGAGCTCCGCAGCCATTACACTTTTCACCTCGCGCACCCCCTAGCGGCAGCTCGCGCACCCCCAGGGGTGCGTGCACCACACTTTGGGAATCCCTGCCCTAATCCATAATGCAGGGAATTGCAGTAATCTAGTCGACGGGAGACAAAGAGATTAATAACATGTTCAAAGACAGTTTCCGGCAAATAGCACTTAACCTTTGCAAGTTGCATCAAGTGATAAAAACTGGACTGGACCACTGCACTTATCTGTCTGTCCAGTTTAAATGAACCAGGTAGGATGGAAAAATTCTAAAATTCAGTGAAATCTGATTTGTCGCCAACAGGAATTTATGGTAAAACGTTTGCAGCTCTTTTGACAAAGGGAATATTTCATGTTTATGGTAATAATCGGCTTTGCTTTGAAGTAGCGAAACTGGAAATTTGCTGTGACCTCGTTCGTGTTTGTCGCTCTCACCCCCCACACTGGTTCTTCTGTGTTCAGGTCAGCAGAGCTGCACACCTACTGGGACTACAAGCAGGCGTCCCGGTCCTACCAGCAGGCCTGGCAGCAGCTGTGCAGCCAGGCTTTCCCTCTGTGGCCTCGCAGCCGCGCCAGCCTCCTCCTCTTTCACTGAAAACTAACTCCGCTGAAGGAATGTCCTCGCCAGGCTCGGTGAAACGCCGGCTTTGTCTGCAGGAGAAGCTCGGGGGTCACGTGAAAATAGCCTCGTCTCCCCGAGCAATCCTGATCTCTGTGGACTGATTAGAATTTATTTAAAAAGAGACGCGGCTTTTTGGTTTCCTTCGTGTCTGTTGACCCAGCTGCTCTGGGGATCAGGATGGGACAGCTTTCCTCAGCAGGCAGCACTCTCTGTTCTGCCCTGCTGATGACCGCTCTGCAGTGTGGTGGTTTTATTTTTACACGTGAGCGCAGCGGTCTGGTTGTCTTCGTGTTCGTGCTGGTCTCACCTGCCGGCAGATCTCAGCCCAAGTTTTAATAAAGCATTACGTTTCACCTGCAAGAGTCCAGCTTTATCCTGCAGACCTGATGAGTTCACCTCCAGAGTCAGAAAACTAAAACAATTCATCGTTTGAGGAGCTTTTCCAGACTATTTAAGCTTTATCGGTAGGTCTTAGTTTCTGTGAGTCTGGAGCAGGCAGAGACGTTCTCACTCCCAAGGACAAAGGATCAGCTGAAGCTGCTCATGTCTGCACAACAGCCGAGCTCTTTACTGGAGATCAGGCACCGCTTTGCCGTCAGCAAATTCCTCATAATTTCATCTCGGCTAACAGCGAGCGATGTGCCGATTGTTTACGAGCAGGATCAGCTTCCTGCAGAAGCTGTAGGAGATTTGTTTAAAACGTTTTAGTTTATTTTAACCAGTCACATTTCAGATGGACACGTGTTTGTTGTGAATCTGTTCTGTTTGAATGACAAAATAGATTCAGCCTCATGTGCTTTTATAGAAGGAGCCAACATAAAAATGGTAAATGGTCTGTATTTGATATAGCGCCTTCTAGAGTCCTGGAACCCCCCAAGGCGCTTTACAACACAACCAGTCATTCACCCATTCACACACACATTCACACGCTGGTGGGGATGAGCTACGATGTAGCCACAGCTGCCCTGGGGCGCGCTGACAGAGGCGAGGCTGTCGAGCACTGGCGCCACCGGTCCCTCCGACCACCACCAGCAGGCAACGTGGGCTAAGTGTCTTGCCCAAGGACACAACGACAGCGACAGACTGAGTGGGGCTCGAACCTGCAACCTTCCGATTACGGGCCGAGCGCTTAACTCCTGTGCCACCGTCGCCCCACTCCTCTCAGTAAGTCACCAGTAAAGGCAGTAAAGCAGAAGCTTCATGACGAGGTGCTGCTTTTAACGTTTTTCCACACACCCGTAGTCAATTCTTTTATTGCCAAACTAGATTCACACCTTCTGCAAACAGTTTTAGTTGATCTGAGATCCGGTTTGTCCCCACAGAGACTCACAGTGATGTTAAAAATAAAATAAAACAAGACAGGCATCGATGTTCTGGCATCGTTTACTGGATAACTTATTTCTATTTTGGTTTAGGAGGTTTTAAAGGTCCGTGTTCAACCCTGTCGTTTGTGGTTGCTATTCAAATACTGTTGTTGTTTTGTTTTTGTGCGAGCTCACTAGAATTAATGATGAAAACAGAAGCTCACATCACATATATCAATCATAAATAACCTAATAACCTAACCCTAACTCCACCAAAATCTAATGAAAATGTCCCGATATTTAATAAGTCGCATTATTCACTTCTTACTGAAGTTTTATAAGTTTAAAACAAGTTAGTGTTCCAGCTACAGAGGGATCAGACTCCTGAGCCGCCCTGGTAAGGTCCATTCAGGGGTCCTGGAGAGGAGGCTCCGTCGGATAGTCACGGTGGTTTTTGTCCTGGCCATGGAACGCTGGACCGGTTCGCCCAACCACTCGACATGTGCTTTATGGATTTGGAGAAGGCGTTGGACCGAGTATGGGGTACCACACCCTCTGATACAGGCTGTTAGGACCCTATATGGCCAGTGTCAGAGCTTGGCTTGCATTGCTGGAATTTAATATTCTCAGGGTCTTGTTCATGAGTGAGGGAAAGCTGGAGCGCGAGATCGGTAGGCGGATTGGTGCTGCGTCTGCAGTGATGCGGGCGTTGTACTGGTCGGTCGTGGTGAAGAGAGAGCTGAGCCAGAAGGCGAAGCTCTCATTCCATGCTATGGTTTTTTTTAAACACAGAGCAGTTTTGTTTACCTGTTTTCCCGCTACGTTCCGTTTGCGGCTGCAAACTTCCTCAGGCTAAACAGAGAAGGGAGTGATGCCACCATCAGCGTCAGCCTGAGGAAGTTTGCAGCCGCAAACGGAACGTAGCGGGAAAACAGGTAAATAAAACTGCTCAATGTTTTAAAAAAGAACTACAACATGGAATTAGAGATACGACACAGCAAGAACACACCTAAGAAGGCGAAGCTCTGGATTTATCGGTAGATCTACGTTCCTACCCTCACCTATGGTCACGAGCTTTGGGTAGTGACCGAAAGAACGAGATCATGAGTACAAGCGGCTGAAATTACTTTTTTCTGCAGGGGGTCTGGGCTCTCCCTTAGAGATAGGGTTGGAAGCTTGATCATCTGGGAGGGGCTTGGAGTAGACCCGCTGCTTCTCCACATCAAGAGGAGCCAGTTGAAGTGGTTTGGGTATATGTTAGGATGGATGCCTCCTTGGTTAGGTTTTCTGGGCGCGTCCAACTGCAGGAGAACTAAAGAAAGACTCAGGGCACGCTGGAGGGACGATGTCTCTCAGGGAACGCCTTAGGATTCCCCCGGAGTCGCTCCCCCAAGTGGCTGGGGAGAGGGAAGTCTGGACCTCTCTACTTGTAGGCTGCTGCCTCCACGACCCGACCCCGGACAAGCGGACGAAAATGGATAAATGAACAGATATATAAAACGAGTTAGCAGGAGAAAAAATAACTTTTAATAGAGACTTTACAATTTGGTTTTAACTGTTTTATTGGTCCGTTTCTGGCTACATGGAATATTTTCAAATATCTAAAATCATTTTAATGCCTTTAACATGTATTTGATGGTCATCCGACATACATAAACATTTCTGAATATCATCACGTTCCATCAGTATATTACAAGTAATTAAAACCTGAAGAAGTCAGAACCAGGTTTGTGTCACATGACTTTAAAAACTCCTGAGATGTTTCAGCACCAACATTTCTACTCCGTCTCAGAGAACGGGACAGAACCGAGTTACGGGTCTGTTGGTGGTTATCGAAGGAAACGCTGAAATCGTAGGCGTGAGAAAAAACTCTGCAGGCCAAAATAGAATTCCCCTGATTTTATTAACCAACATTTCGGTAACATTAAAAATATGAACAAAACGTTCCTTTGACTGCAATAAATAACAATTTTATTAAAGAAAAGACAAATAAATGGTGCAAATTGTTCTTCAATTACACGTTAAATCATGTTTTTGGTGCAAAATGATAAATTTGAGGCTTGATGAACTGAACACGTCCTCTTCATGGCTTTAGTGATAATAAGTCTGAACTGACACTTTAAATGAGGCTACAGTTGACGTTAGCTTTCAAGTAGCGGACAGGTTAAACTTGACCAATGAGAATGTAATTATTTAAAACCTGATTCAAATTATAAAAATTCAGTTGAAACCATAAATTTACATATTCAAATGGGAAATGTTCAGTTTAATTCAAACTGAGGTCTGTAATTTATCAACAGCATTTGTCTGATGAGTCTAAATTTAGGTTTTTAAGTTTGGATTTGACCCATTTGATCGTTTTTAAATGCAGAAAACGCAGCTGCAGTGGAAGAGATCATCATGATCAAGAATATCTGCATTAACCCTCCCGCTGTCTTCATGGGTGACCCCGTGAGGAACGCTGACCACTGAGCAGTGTTGATGGTTTATCACTTGGGTCCATATGGCGGGGTGAGGTGGTGCTCACTCCTCACCCCGCCACATGGACCCAAGTGATAAACCATCAACACTGCTCAGTGGTCAGCGTTCCTCACGGGGTCACCCATGAAGACAGCGGGAGGGTTAAACATCATCAAATTTGTAGTTGTTTGTTTGTTTCTGTAGATTTTTAAACTTCAGAGGATAATTTGTGTCTACAACACATCGATGAGCTAATGGCTCCATCATCAGAACAAATATCAAGTTTAAGCCAAACCAAAGTGCAAAAACTATCACAGACGTATTGATGCTCACAGCAGAATCGTGTTTGATTCATCTACTTGGCTCAAAAATCAAATCAAAAGTCAAATAAATAAATAAATGTAAGAAAGAAAAGTAGCTGCTTGTTTTTGAATCAATAAAACTTTATTTATACAGCTCCTTTTATACAAGTCTGGCAACTAAAAATGTCCTTTAAAGTTATGTAAATGCATTAAAACAAAGACTGAAGCATGCATAAATATATGGGAAATAAAACTAAACAAGTGCAAATATAACAGTGATTAATGATCAACGTCTTCCACTTTTTGGATCTTGTGAAGCAAAAATGTAAATAATCTGTGTAACTTAATGACTGAATGAAGGGAATTAAAAAAAGATTTAATTTTCCAGTTTTTCTGGATTTTATAGGATTTACAGATGTCCTAAAACCATAAAACATCCCAGTTAGCTTATAGATTTACCAGGGGTGTCCAATCCTGGTCCTGGAGGGCCGGTATCCTGCATGTTTTAGTTTGAACTCTGTTTCAACACACCTGATTTCAATCAGCAGGTGATTAACAGGCTTCTGCAGAGCCTGATGAGCTGCTGCACAGGTGTTTCAACCACTGAATCAAGCCTGTTGGAGCAGAAAAACCACAAAACCTGCTGGATACCGGCCCTCCAGGACCAGGATTGGGCACCCCTGATTTAGAAGAATCTTTTGAATCGGAACCGTTTCTGATCATTTGTGAAAGAAAACATAAAAATAACGTAGTTAGATTCAAGTAGTCTGAATTCACCTGGCGGCTTTTCAGCAAACAGAAAAAAACAAAAAGTGATTTTTGGTTTGGACTCACCAACACACGGCCGCTCAGTCACTCAAAACCTGCTTTTACACAAGATCCTGTTTGATTTTAGACAAACAAATCAAACAGGAGGTGACGGATTCTGTGGTTTGTGTCTCTAAAAACACGTCCTGGCGTGCCGGTAAGGTGTTGGGATTTATAATCGGGTTTTACGGCAGTGTTTAAGACCTCTTCACCTCTCTGTAACTGACTTCAAATGAGCAGCAATGGCAGAAAAGTCCGCCAGAAAGCTCAAGCCGTTCAACGATCATCTGATCCTGACGAACAAAACAAGGTTTAATCATCGTAGCAGTTTTGCTTTTGCTAATTTACAATAGATTTTTTTTTTCAGTATCAAAAACTGAAAGGTGTAGGAGCGCTAGCACATCTAACAGGTCAGTGTTTGAAGAGCCGTGCACGTTTCTGTCGGGTGTTTTACGCGTGGGGGTGGACTGGGGAAGCTTTAACCCTGTGCTGTAGAAAAGGTCGTCCAACCGAATGTGTTTTCTCCGCTGTAGGCCACGTAGAGAAAACCGTCCTCGTCCTTCTCCTTGTCATACAGCTGGCCCATGGTCAGGCTGCAACACAGGGCAGAAACAAGACTGTCACACAATCCTGCCTAACCACAGCTCTGGGATCAGTCCCAAAGTCAGGAGATGCATTTAATCCAACACGCAGTAGCTGCATCTAAGATATTCCATCTTCAACGCATCAATCAGTTTCACCGTCTGTAAATGTTGTTGTGGGATCAGATTATTGATCACATTTTAATGCTAAATTAGGTCAAAAAGGATCATTTTCGGCTAATATTTAAACAAGCTATGAATTAACTGTTTAATTTATATAAAAACAACAGTTTGTTCAAATTTGGTCAAAGGGATCACTCATAGTCTTTGAAGCAGATAAAATGAGGTGGGAGTGTACGACCCCCGGGCTCTGCTTCAGAGATCAGGAGAGGAGAGCCGCTGCTGCTCCTCATCAAAAAGCGGTCCGTTGAGATGGTTCAGGAATTTAACTTGGATGCCTCCTCTCGGGATTATACATCCTTTCTGGCCAGGGAACATCTCGGAATCTCTCACGAGGAGCTGGAGAGTGATACTTCAGACAGGTATGTGAGGTTTCATCTTGAATCTGTTACCTTGGTAACCAGATCTGAGGTAATTGGAGGGGAAATGGATGGAAGTCCGTAAAGTAGCGATGTTTTAGATTAGCTCCTCTGAGTGGCTGTTAGCTTGACTCCTAGATTGGCTGCAGGTAATATTAGATTAAAGCTCATAATTACTCCACAAAACCAAACGTCAATAAGTTACATAAAGGTCACATTTATTTACATTTGAAAATTTGGCATTTATTTAACATCAGTCGGGAGCTTTTAACTTACCAGACGATGAATCAGATTCTATCTGATGTAAAATCAGACGTCTGAAACTATAAATAGAAATTGCTCTGCAGCAGGTTTTTGAGTTATCAGCGTAATCTAAGCCAGATTGGAAAACAAGGCAAATTTTGCAATAACTAAAACTCCATCTCAGCAGTGTGCTTTGTAAAAGATCACAGAGAAACATGAGTCTGAACAGCTTTTACATATCAGCTGGATGATGATTACAATCTTGGAATGCTGTGGGCTGTACATACATACATACATATATGTATGTATAAATATATATATATATATATGTATATATATATATATTTATACATACATATATGTATGTATAAATATATATATATATGTATATATATATATATTTATACATACATATATGTATGTATAAATATATATATATATATGTATATATATATAAATATATTTATACATACATACATATATGTATGTATGTATAAATATATATATATATATATTTATACATAAATATATATATATATGTATATATATATATATTTATACATACATATATGTATGTATAAATATATATATATATGTATATATATATATATATATATATATATATATATATATATATATATTTATACATACATACATATATGTATGTATGTATAAATATATATATATATATAAATATATTTATACATACATACATATATGTATGTATGTATAAATATATATATATATATATATTTATACATACATATATGTATGTATAAATATATATATACATATATATATATTTATACATACATATATATATATATGTGTGTGTACGTGTATATATACATACACAAACACACACACATATATGTATATATATATATATATATACATATATATGTATGTATGTATATATATATATATATACACATACATATATATATATATATATATATATATATATATGTATGTGTATATATATATATATACATACATACATACATACATACATATATACATATATATATGTGTGTGTGTATTACTGGTTTGTCATAAATCTCCAGGAACTAAGTCAGGCATCCCAGAGGGAAGGGATGTGTGTTTATAGATCAGTGTGAATTGAACACGAAGGCGTGACCGAATCCTCCTTTCTTTATCACTCACTTGAAAAGTGTAGTAATGTTACGTCACACGGACAAGTGGATAAACAAATGAACACGGATGTGAAAAGTTTACTCTGGCTTTAAGCCTCAAGTTTCCTTCATGCAGAATGACTCTTACAAAACAAAACATCAGATTTATTCAATCCTTGGAGTATTGGGAAGATATTAGACATGTCTACAGATATTTTCAATTGTTAGCAGTGGAGGTTTACAGTTCTGAGAAATAAAGACAAAGATGTACAAAAATAAAGTAGCTTTAGCTTTTTTTAACTTCTCAGAATGACAAGTCTTTTCTCTTTTACCCACATACACATATGTGTATATATATACAGTAGGGGTTGTATCAACTAGTCGACTTCACCGCTCTGTAGTGACTTTTTATGCCTTTCATAGACTAGTCGCTGTCACGTGATAATGACCGACAAGATGGAGTCCTCAGAAAAGCCAGCAGGTGACGAGTCCCTGCGCGTTGGGAGGTGACGCGCTGTGCAAGAGCGTCGGTATCCGACGCCCGCTGTAAAACGGACATTTGATCGAATTGTGACTTTACCCTCTTGCAATTTAACCTTCCCCTCAGCCCCATCCTAACCTTAAGCAGCTTGCGCATGCAAAGCTTTGTTTCACGTTTCGTCGATCCTCTCAAACACGCTTAACAGAAAATTTAGACTGACATACTGGGTAAAGGTAAGGGTGGGGGTGAGGGGAAGGTTAAATAGCAAGAGGGTAAAGGTCGCAATTCGGTGAAATCTCCGTTTTACCGCGGGCGTCAGATACGTGCGTCGGAAATAAATGCTTGGTCGCCCATCGTCAGTTTTAGCCGCTTCAGGTGTATGACGTCATCAACGACTAGTCAAAGTCGACTAGATTTTCATTACTTGACTGTCGACTTTTTAAAAAATTAAGTCATGCAGCCCCTAGTATACAGACACATACATACATTTATATGAGTGTGGACTAATGACCGCTCTCACCTGGACTGGGGGACGGTTTTGTCGACGAACAGGAAGATAGCTTTCTCTGAAGGTAGCTGGATGCGTTTCCTGATGATCCACATGAACTGAGCCACCGTGATGTCAGAGGGCACCAGGTACTTCCTCTTATCGATGTCCACTATCTGAGATCCGGAGACCTTCTCCACAATCACCTGGAGAAGACATCAAATCAAACAACAACTTGTAGTTATAAAAGTGTCACCAATCTCAGCACACTGCAACAAGCAATCAGTGTTTTTATTTTGTCGCAATAATTCGAAGACAAATAGGAAGTCTTATCAACAGTGAATGCGGACGACATGTTTTTCAGCGTGGGATCAAGTCAACGTTTATGCAAGCTGGAATGGTGGCAACACCATGCGTTTATCTTTGTTTGTTGACGAAGCCTTAAGTCCAAACATCCTAAACACATTCTAACAGGAAGTAGCTTTAAAAAAGCGTCATCAGTCTTTAAAGTGGCAGTGTGTAGTTTCCTGGCGCTAGGGGGCAGTGCATCAGTTCTGGGTACTTTTACACCATTTCACTGTGACTGTCGCTAGTTTAACTCAGTCGCTGCCAACCGTTTCCTGATTGGTAAAGCCCTTCGCTGCCAGCGTTTCTCACCGTTTTTACTGTGTTTTTAAGAGTGACAGAACGTGGCGCGCTAGGATGATGCCGACACCAAAAAACCAAAACAAAGCGGAGACTCACCTCTTACATCAGGAAGAATCCGCGCATTTCGAGCGTTATCCGTTCTTTCATAATCCGTTGTTGAATTGTGATCGGCAGAAGCTTTTCCGGTTCGCGCCTCACTTTTTTACAGCAGCGGCCCAAAACGATCTCCTAACACGTGGATGTTCCGCTTCCTGATCACGTGACGTGTGACGTACGCTGATGAAGATCGGCTTTAGAGCTGAGATGTTTGTTCTCACGGTGCGGGGGCTCGTCCGACGCCCACGCAGTAAAAACATGTAAATGACGACTTTAGTCGTCATTGGCAGTGAACGAGTTAAAAAACATTACGGTAAAAGCTACCTGTGGAGCAGAAAGCATGCCACCTCGGTGTGACTCCTCAGACTTTGATTCAATTCAATTCAGGTTTATTTATGTAGCACCAAATCATGACCAGAGTCGTGTCAAGGCACTTCACACAGTAAACATTCCAATATGACGGTCCTTTAGTTCCATCGAGGGAATGCAATGCCGATTGTAATTTTCTGGTACTGTACTTTCCGGATCTACTCGGGTTCCTGTGCCTGCCGATGACGTCATCATACTACGGCAATACCACTCGGCCAAAATATATTGCATCTCTTTTTTGATTCTGTTCTTTCACATATGTTTTGGAAAGACTTTTGCAATTTTGTAATTAAATTCATGTTTCTTACTACCTACATGTTTTCGAACGCGGTAACATAACTTTTGTTAGTCGTACATCCAGCCGATCGTTTAGTCATCAACAGGCATAGGACCCCAAGCAGGCCCGAAGGAAACAGGGCATCCCCAAAGATGCTAGACCTGCACTCCATGTACTTTAGACCTGATTTTTATGGTTATATGGTACAAAGCCACCAACATTTGTCACTACTGGACATCATTTTATTCATTTTCAACGACCTTTCGATGGATATTTCTAGAGATTAAAGGTAAAAGCACACATTGTCACTTTAACAACACAGAACCGACACATTCCCAACAGTTTACTTGTCTGACTACATAAACATGAGCGATTAGTTTATCATTAATCTATGATCATTAGAATTCACAATATAGAAATTAGTTAAACAGCTTTTAACTGTGTATAGATGAATTAGACTTTATTGCTCACATGTCTTATTCTATTAATCACTCATGTCTGTATGTTTTTTTTTCTTCAAGGCACTCGAGGAGTACAGGCGCTTCTCTCTTTCGCTCCCCTATCTTTTTTTCCCAAGGCTCTTTGTCCTGTCTGCCCACAGAGAGCTTCTCTGCATTTGTTCTGAAAAACTCTATTTTTAACCATGGATTTGATAAACTGGTCATTCAGTGCGATTGATAAGATTTTTTCAACAATGAGAACGGAACAGGGGGCTCCCACATGTCCACAGGGGACACACCCGGTGGGATATTTGTTGGATTCCTGGAAGGAATGGAGGATCATATGCCTCAGCCAGTTGTCCATTGAGGATATCAAAGACGTGTGAATATTCGGCCTGATGATCACTGGATTTTTCCTGATTTGAGTGGGAGAATATCTGGTTTTCTGGAAATTTGGGAAGACGGGAGCGATTGGATGGCGACCCGCACCCACGGAAAGCACCATCCGTGTGGAGACTTCTCAGACTGGGACGTTATTCGAGGTGAATCGTAAGCTGGACAATGTTCTAGCTGCGATACCGCTATTAGTGCGCAAAATGGATGTCATCTCGGAGAGTCACCGGAGGGTATGGACAGATTTAAAAACCCAAAACTGGCTTCATTGAAGGACTAAAATGATAAGTTTAAAGACTGAAGGCAGAGAGGAAAGTTATCTCAGCCCGACCCAAACAAATTCTTGTTATCTGAATCTGACGCCCTGGTAGCCTTGAGCTGCAAGCAAATAAAACCCCCACGAAGGAATGCAGACAGATGCTGTGAACCCCCGCCCCCACCCCCGCCTTCGGATTGGTGGACTTCAGCCTGGCGAGGTCATCAATCTGTAGGAGTCGATGTACTCTTTGCTTCTCCCAAGATCTCCCTCCCACCTGTGACTGTACAGTAGATGAGCGCCAGATGGCTGCTCTCGCTGGAGGAAACAGGATTCTGATCCATTTATCTATCTGGGACCATGTTAGGGGTGGTGGTGTCCCCAGACATCGTTTTTTCCCAGCTGACTCCTACTCATCTAGAAGTACTCTGAAGTATTCCCAGGTTGGATGTGAGATGTAATCTCTGCAGAGTTGTGGGTCTTCCCCAAGTGACACATGTAAACTGGCCTAGTTTGTTTGTTTTTTAATTAAAACAATTGCATTACCTCTTGGCTGCGCTTTAGAACTAACGCAACACCACAAACATGACTACTTTATAAGCATTTATCATACACCGAAGCCTAACTCAAAGAAATATCGCTCCGGTTTACGTCTCTAAAAGCAACAGCAAGCATCTGTTTGACTAAAGGATCTTCTGATTGGTTTAAAGCTCACTGAGTGAAATACAATATACTTTTCTGCAGAAATGAACGTGAAATTGACAAATGTCACCTGAACGAATCACTCTGGGTGTCACGTGACCAGATCTGAGGTGGAAACAGGAGACATTTTCGTGCTTCCTGGCAGTGAGGGCCTAAAGCCTGATGCCAAAACGCTGCTTTAGAGCTTTTTGTAATCCGAGACCTTAAATGCTCCAGGGAACAACTAATAACTACTAAAGCTGCACTATTGTCACCATAAAAATACCTGCTTTATCTGGTTTGTTGGACAGGGTGCTGCTAATGTAATCTGAGTCTATTATAGTGTTTATGCTGCAGCTTAGTCACTAAGAGCAGGGTTCTCTGTGGGAGAAAAAATTTAAATACTGATCACAAAAAGTTGTGGAAAGGTAAAGGTGACTGCAGGTTTGCAAAACAACCTCCAGGGGTAAAAAAAGAAAAAAGAAAAAGCTTTTTTATTTGACATTTAGGAAATATGTGGGTATAAACAAAAGGATAAGCTTAGAGTTCCTCCCAGCTGTCATATCAATGAACGGTGAAGAGTGAGATTTGTATTTATAAACAAATTATCGGCCACACAAAAGCCTCTCGGTATAACGCCTCAGGACACAAACACAGTTCTAATGCTGAAGAACTCAGAGCAAACATCTTCCAGATTGTCAGAAGAACTGCTCCAAAGTGATTTGAAGTTTGAATTAAGCCTGGATGAGTCATTTTACAGATTTTTACTTGATTACAACTTCTCCAGTTATTGGACAATCTGCTCTACCTTCTGAATCCCATAATATGCCTTACATGGACAAGCACCATCATACATTGGTGATCTTCTCAGTCCCTACACCCCCCAGCAGGTCCCTGAGGTCCGGTGACCAAAGCCTACATGGTAAATGCATTTTGTCCTCAAGGGCTCCCGTAGAAGCAAACATGGCATCTAATATGGCGTCGCCCAGAGACTTAGGCCCACTCCCTTGTATTTTAGACGAGATTTTTATGGTTATATGTTAAGAAGCCGCCAATATTTTTCAACTACTGGGCACAATTTAACTCATTCACTGCCAAAGACGACTAAAGTCATCATGTGTATGTTTTTACTGTGTGGGCGTCGGACGAGCCCCCGCTCCGTGAAAACAAACATCTCAGCTCTAAAGCCGATCTTCTTCCACGTACGTCACACATCACGTGATCAGGAAGCAGAACATCCATGTGTTAGGAGATCGTTTTGGGCCACTGCTGTAAAAAAAAGTGAGGCACGAACCGGAAAAGCTTCTGATCACAATTCGACAACAGATTATGAAAGAACGGATAACGCTCGAAACACGCGGATTCTTCCTGATGTAAGAGGTGAGTCTCCGCTTTGTTTTGGTAGTTTTGGCGTTGACATCATCCTACCAACGTTCTGTGACTTTTAAAAACAAAGAAAACACCGGCAGCAAAGGGCTTTTCTGATCAGGAAACGGATGGCAGTGAATGAGTTAATAAATTTTCAACAACAGTTTGAGGGATACCTCCAGAGATTAACGATAAAACCTACACATTGTCCCTTTAAGGTAATTTAGTTACTTCCTTTATAAGGCACCTTCAACTCCCTTATCAGAAGCAGACCAAGATGCTGAGCACAACCACAAAACATACGATAAGAACAAATATAGTGTCGTGTCGTTGATTACTCGAGACGTTCGTGCATCTATTAGGCTTTTTATTGCTGCTATTCTAGTTAAAACAGACATGGGGAAAATCTTAACCAAATCCAAATAATGCATTTATTTATCAGCATAATAGCATTTTTTTTAAATCACACATTTATAATTAAATAATTAATAACTACAGCCTTACATAAGAGTCTTGTATAAATGGCCATTTGGTGCTTTGTGTGATCTTCGTCACGCCACTCTTTAAAGAGCAAGTCACCCCCTACCAGAGTCTTACTCCACTCCCACTTCCTGTTTGAAAAATGCAACAAATGCTGTCGCCTAGCAGACCGAGAGGGCGGAGCCTCTAACAAATACACACACACACAGGCTCACAATGACATTGTGACATCATATGGTACCAGCTAACGTTCTAGGGTACCTCTTAGCCAATAGCAATGGCAGATTTAAACAATAGCGATGGCAGATTTAAATTCAAATGCAGTGCAGAGTTTTTACCTGACAACGGCACAACACTGACAGTTTTAGGCAGAAAATTAAAAATTTTTACTCCTTGAACCGTCACCTTATCGTGGTGGAGGAGTTTGAGTGCCCTAATGATCCTAGGAGCTATGTTGTCTGGGGCACTTTGTGCCCCTGGTAGGGTCTCCCATGACAAATTGGTCTTAGGTGAAGGGTGAGACAAAGAAGGGTTCACAGTAAATTCAAAGAGTCGGAGTACCTGCCTCGGAGGGTTACCGGGGTCTCACCCTGGAGCCAGGACTGGGGTTGGGGTCCGTGAGCGAGCGCCTGGTGGCCGGGCTTTTGCCCATGGGGCCTGGCCGGGCCCAGCCCGAACCAGATACATGGGCTCATCCAACTGTGGACCCACCACCCGCAGGAGGAACATGAAGGGTCCGGTGCAATGTGGATCAGGTGGCAGACCAAAGCGGGAGCCTTGGCGGTCCGATCCCCGGACAATGAAACTGGTTTTTGGGACATGGAACGTCACCTCGCTGGCGGGGAAGGAGCAGGAGCTTGTGGCAGAGGTTGAGCGGCACCGTCTAAATATAGTCGGACTCACCTCGACACATAGCATTGGCTCTGGAACCCAAGTCCTTGAGAGGGGTTGGACACTCTCCTTTGCTGGAGTTGCTCCGGGTGAGAGGCAGAGGGCTGGGGTTGGCTTATTGTTAGCCCCAACACTCTCTGTGCCTGTGTGTTGGGGTTTACCCCGGGGGACGAGAGGGTAGCTTCCCTGCGCCTTTGGGTCGGGGAACAGGTCCTGACTGTTGTTTGTGCTTATGGGCCAAATATCAGTTCAGAGTACCCACCCTTTTTGGAGTCCCTGGGACGAGTGCTAGATAGTGCTCCATCAGGGGACTCCATTGTCCTGCTGGGGGACTTCAATGCTCACGTGGGCAATGACAGCTTGACCTGGAGGGGTGTGATTGGGAGGAATGGCCCGCCTGATCTGAACTCAATTGGTGTCTCGTTATTGGACTTCTGTGCAAGCCGCAGTTTGGCCATAACGAACACCATGTTCGAACATATGGATGCCCATTGGTACACTTGGTACCAGGGCAGCCTAGGTCGCAGGTCGATGATAGAATTTGTAGTCGTATCATCTGACCTGCGGCCGTATGTTTTGGACACCCGAGTGAAGAGAGGAGCGGAGCTGTCAACTGATCACCACCTGGTGGTGAGTTGGATCAGATGGCAGGGGAGGATGCCGCGTAGACCTGGCAGACCCAAACGCATAGTGAGGGTCTGCTGGGAACGCCTGGCAGAAGAACCTGTCAAGACGGTCTTCAACTCCCACCTCCGGCAGAGCTTTGACCGCGTCCCGAGAGCAGTGGGGGACATTGACTCCGAGTGGGCCTTGTTCCACTCTGCGATTGTTGAGGCGGCTGTTGCTAGCTGTGGTCGCAAGGTGGCCGGTGCCAGTCGTGGTGGCAACCCCCGTACCCGCTGGTGGACACCAGAGGTTCGGGGAACCGTCAGGCTGAAGAAGGAGGCCTACAGGGCGTGGCTGGTCTGTGGGTCTCTGGAGGCAGCAGACAGGTACGGAATAGCCAAGCGGGGTGCAGCAGTGGCAGTTGCCGAGGCAAAATCTCAGGTGTGGGAGGAGTTTGGTGAGGCCATGGAGAGAGACTATCGATCGGCTCCAAATAGGTTCTGACAAACTGTCCGGCGCCTCAGGAGAGGAAGGCAGCAACTTGCTTGCACTATTTACAGTGGGGATGGAGAGCTGCTGACGTCAACTGGGGCAATAGTCGGACGGTGGAAGGAATACTTTGAGGAGCTCCTCAATCCCACCTATGCACATTCCGAGGAGGAACCAGAGACGGGAGACCTGGGGATGGACTGTCCAATCTCGGGGGCAGAAGTTGCTGAGGTAGTCAAACAACTACACAGCGGCGGAGCCCCGGGGGCGGATGAGGTTCGTCCTGGGTATCTCAAGGCTATGGATGTTGTAGGGCTGTCATGGTTGACACGTCTCTGCAACATTGCGTGGTCATCGGAGGCAGTTCCTGTGGAGTGGCAGACCGGGGTGGTGGTCCCCATCTTTAAGAAGGGTGACCTGAGGGTGTGTTCAAACTATAGGGGGATCACACTCCTCAGCCTCCCTGGAAAGGTCTACTCCAAGGTACTGGAGAGGAGGGTCCGATCGATAGTTGAATCAGATTGAGGAGGAGCAGTGTGGTTTTCGTCCTGGCCGTGGAACTGTGGACCAGCTCTATACCCTTGCAAGGGTGATGGAGGGGGCATGGGAGTTTGCCCAACCAATCCACATGGGTTTTGTGGATTTGGAGAAGGCTTATGACCATGTCCCCAGGGGCACCCTGTGGGGGACGCTCCATGAGTATGGGGTGGGTGGCTTTCTGTTAAGGGCCATTCAGTCCCTTTACCAGAGGAGCGTGAGTTTGGTCCGCATAGCCGGTAGTAAGTCAGACCTGTTCCCAGTGAGGGTTGGACTCCGCCAGGGCTGCCCTTTGTCACCGGTTCTGTTCAATACCTTTATGGACAGAATTTCTAGGCGCAGCCGTGGTGTGGAGTGTGTCGAGTTTGGTGGCAGGAGAATCTCGTCTCTGCTTTTTGCGGATGATGTGGTCCTCCTAGCTTCATCTAGCTCTGACCTTCAGCTCTTGCTGGGTAGGTTCACGGCCGAGTGTGAAGCGGCTGGGATGAGGATCAGCACCTCCAAATCTGAGACCATGGTTCTCGACCGGAAAAGGGTGGCTTGCCAACTCCGGGTCGGGGGAGAGGTCCTACCTCAAGTGGAGGAGTTTAAGTATCTCGGGGTCTTGTTCACGAGTGACGGTAGGAGGGATCGGGAGATCGACAGGCGGATTGGTTCAGCGTCTGCAGTGATGCGGACGCTGAGCCGATCTGTCGTGGTGAAGAGGGAGCTGAGCCAGAAAGCCAGGCTCTCGATTTACCGGTCGATCTACGTCCCAATCCTCACCTATGGTCATGAGCTTTGGGTAATGACCGAAAGAACGAGATTGCGGATACAAGCGGCCGAAATGAGTTTCCTTCGTAGGGTGGCCGGGCTCAGCCTTAGAGATAGGGTGAGGAGCTCGGACATTCGGGAGGGACTCGGAGTAGAACCGCTGCTCCTCTGGATCGAAAGGAGCCAGTTGAGGTGGTTTGGGCATCTGGTCAGGATGCCTCCTGGACGCCTCCCCAGGGAGGTGTTTCGGGCATGTCCTGCCGGCAGGAGGCCCCCGGGTCGACCCAGGACACGTTGGAGAGGTTACATCTCCAATCTGGTCCGGGAATGCCTTGGGGTCCTGCCGGAGGAGCTGGTGGAGATGGCCAGGGAGAGGACGGTCTGGAGCTCCCTAGTTGGGATGCTGCCCCCGCGACCCGGACCCGGATAAAAGGAGGAAGACAACGACGACTAAAAGTGCAAAACTATTGACGACACGTGTCTGCAGCACGATTAGACACATTTATATAGTTTATCAGAAAAAAAAAGTTGATTTGGGGGGCGACTTGCTCTTTAAATCATGAGAATGAAATAAATTTGATTAGTTAAAAATCTATGTTTCTTTATTTCTTTCCTCAGCTGGAGATCAGTTTAAAACAACAACAAAACTAAATCTCCTGACTTCAGCTCTGCGTCCCTGCAGGTTACATTCAGACAGCTTAATCTGTTGATTTACTGTCATGCCAGTGCACCCCACCCCCTGGACTCACCGGTACTCTGTCAGGGTATTTGTTGCGTATTTTGGCTGACTCCACACATCGGTGCTCTGAGGGAGGGACAGAAAGCAAACAGGAAGTAGAGATTAAAAGGATGAGTGAGGCCTCTTGGGATTCTTCCTCTGCCATCTTAAAGCCAAGCCTTGTTCAACACAGAGAGCTCCCTGTTCACAGCAGACACTTTTCACACAAGATGCAGCACGCATAAAATGGATTATCAACTCTTACAACAATTTGTGATCAAATTAAGGCACTAGCTGCCTTTCACAGTGATTGTAATCATGATTGATGCCACTGTGTGCATTGATTTTAGGCAGGACATGCAGCAACGCAGAAAATGAGGCCCGGGGAGGGGAGGAGAGGTGATAGTTGATAAGGTGCAGGCTTTCATTAACCCAGATAAGAGGCCTACTTTGGATGTGTTTCTTTAAAAAGGTTATCCGGTGAGAGTTTCCACACAAAAGCTGAGTTACATAACAGAAGGCTCCAATGAGATGTCAGTTCAGTTAATGCGTTAGAAACAATCCTGACTTACATGTTCAAATTGTATTTTCATTAGGTCTCTTAGCCAATTAAAAAAATATGAGAATTTATTCTTGCTGGATTTGTTCTGACACTAGGTGTTTAATTCAAACATTATCAAAAGGTGTAAACACACAGTGTAAAGACAGCAATCAGAGCAGATTCAGCTGATTTTGCTTTCAGGGCAACGATAAAGCGACCAAAAGGGGAAAATGGTTTCATGCAGCGAAATCGAATTACAGCAGCCGTGCAAATGGCAAAAAATAAAAGCATGCATTACTGCGTCTATGAGAGGTGGCATTGCTAAACGATGCGGGGACAGTAAAACAGAAAAAGGTGGGATGACACGACAAGAACATCTCTTGTTTCATAACAATCCAACCCCTTTTACCGAGGGAATGGTCCTCTTTAAACATCCATTTCATCTTTGCTGGATCCCCGCACTGAGGCGTGACGCGTAGAAGCTTCTAAATCTGCGGGTAATGTCGGCGAATTGTCCAAATATCCAGACAAACCCAATCAAAACAACGTCAAATTAGCCTTTCAGCTGTGCGTCTAGCGGAGAGGTGACGTCAACGTCTGACAGAGTGCTGCCTTCACGGGCTCTCCGGGAGAGTCGGTCTATCCGTGACTGAGTCCTCACACACATAAAACATAATGGTAAAGGCGCTTGTTTGTATTTCTGTTATTTTCTAAAGAACAGAATAACACATACATTCAGAATTAGTAAAATCATAAGAAAAATACCTAATAAATGATTTCCATAACCACTAAAAAATGCCCCCAAGACAATCTGTGTAAATAGTTTCTCTACACTATGTTCATCAAAATTAAAAAGAGTAGCAGACGCCTCATAAAATAGCAACTTTCCCACATCTGGAAAAAAGGTTCCCGTTCTCTCAAACGTTGCGTGAACGCAGTCTGGTCGTTGGCTGCCATGGTAACCGCCAGACGCCTAGCTAACATGGCGTGGGATCCCGCACCGATAATCACAGAGGCTAACATAAATAGCATATTAAACGCCAAATTTCGTGATAAATATGTATTTATGGGGCTGCTTTACTCAACATTCAACTAGATGGGCATCGCTTTATACGAGTTAAATATGTTTGTGAGCTTTTTCTCTTATTAGACCCGAGTTAGCATCCGCGTTAGCGGTTAGCGTTTAGCTAGCGGGTGTTACGTTTAAATCCGTACTCATGGCTTTTTATGAAGTCTACTCTCACCCGGCCGTGGTTCGGTACAAAACCAGTGTTTGTACAACAGCTACCTTATTTCTGGTTGTTGTTTTATGCCTTACGTACATCCCACCGCTGCTGGTTGCATACAGGAGTCAAGGTACAGTAACGGTCACCAGAAAGCTTTTGTTATTAACTGTTCATCGTGTCTCCTCAAATGCCCTACGATGTGTAAATATTCAGTTACAGAGACAAGAAGTGATAACAAATGCTTAGGCTCACCAAAACCTCGGGTTTATGGAGGGAACAAGTCTTGTAAAGTTTAATGAGGGAAGGGTTACTGAATGTTTTTTATTATCTTATTATAATTTTGCCCTATTTGTATTTGTTACCATCACAAAGATATTTAATCTGACCATCAAGTGACTGCAGACAAACCAATCCCAGATTAAATTCACATAATGATAGAATAAAATAACAGGGATATTTACAGACCAACTTTTCATGCTTTTATACTGTGATGTGACTGAAAAAAATACAAATAAAATATGCATTTATTGTGATTGATGAGTGAAAGTTTCGTAATTAACTTGGAGAATATTGCAGAAACCTGCAATAAAAAGCCTCAGTTTTGTGTTTGAAATTATTTCTTTTAAAGAGCAAGTCACCCCCAAATAAACTTCTTTTTGCTGATAAACTAAATAAGCGAGTGTCTAATCGTGCTGCAGACACGTGTCGTCAATAATTTGGCCCTTCAGTGCATCTTAGTTAAAATTTAAATATTCTGCCTAAAACTGTCAGTGTTGTGCCGTTGTCAGGTAAAAATTCTGCACTGTATTTTAATTTAAATCTTCCACCGCTATTGGCTAAGAGGTATGCTATGATGTAAACTGGTACGCTATGATGTCACAATGCCTGTGTGTTTGTGTATTTGTTAGCAGCTCCGCCCTCTCGGTCTGCCAGGCAACAGCATTTGTTGCATTTTTCAAACATGAAGTGGGAGTGGAGTTAGAATCTGGTACGGGTTGACTTGCTCTTTAAAGAGCAAGTCACCCCTTACAAGAAGCGTACTTCACTCCCACTTCATGTTTGAAAAATGCAACAAATGCTGTTGCCTAGCAGACGGAGAGGGTGGAGCCACTACAAATACACACACTCACGACATTGTGACATCATAATCTACCAGTTTACATCATAGCATACCTCTTAGCCAATGGCGATGTCAGATTTAAATTCAAATGCAGTGAAGAGTTTTTACCTGACAACGGTACAACACTGACAGTTTCCGGCAGAAAATTTAAATTTGAACTAAAATGCACTAAAGTGCAAAACTATTGGCTACACGTGTCTGCAGCACGATTAGACACACATTTATATAGTTTATCAGGAAAAAATAGTTGATTTGGGGGTGACTTGCTCTTTAAATAATGATAAACGAACCTCACGTGTACAGCACCTTTCAGAGTCGGAGGACTCCAAAGCTCTTTACACTACAGTGTTTCATTCATCCATTCACACACATTCACACGCTGATGAGCTACATTGTATCCACAGCTGCACTTGGCCTTCCGATTACTGGACAACCCGCTGTGCCTCTTGAGCTGCTGGTCCAGTATTAGAGAGGCATCCATTCTGGTTTTTGAGATTGATACAGGTTTTCAGTTCTTGTACAGATCTGACCAGCAGGTGCTGAATATCTTATACTTTAGACAACCCCAACTTTTGCTAAATCATATGGAGAAACTCTGAAAAGCAGTTATGTTCAGCAACAAAGGCTGCAGAACTTTAGTTGATCATCTTTGAGCCAGAAACCTGCTTGTGCAGCTAAGTCTCATTCTCATTTTACACATACCTCTCAGTAGGTAATTTGCCGTTTTTTTTACCCTGAAGGTATTTAATTCTCCAAGTAGCTTTCTACAGATTCCCACTCTTAACCCTGTTGCAAAACAAAACTAATAAATCTGGAAAACTCATCTAATATTTACCAATCAGCATCCATTTTGGCTCATGTGATATTTAGACACTGCCAATAAACTAGTTCACTTATTGAAAACATACACAAATTTCTCTTAAAATTAAGAATTTTTTGCATTAAGATTTGAAAATGTGCTCCATAACTTGTGATTTTAGCACGACCAATAAAGCAACATGGCAACGTCAAGTTCTTGTCAATGTCTGGAAATCTCACTTGTGTTAATCCACCAGATTTTACAGGAAACGTTCCTGTTCACAAACTTAATATGGAAACAAAAACACATGGTTTACTCCGCAGATCACCTTAGCTTGTGAGATTTATAATCTCGACAACAACTCGAGAGCTTCTTTACAAAACCTTCAGTTGCTGAGATGATAAAGTTTTATAGCAGCAATAAAAATAAAAGAGTAACTTACCTGATAACAGTGCTTTTACACATTGTTATGCACAGCATCTAGTCTAAATGACAGCTTTGTTTCTTTTTTTAACACACCACTGACTGTTTCCAATTGTCATTTACCTAAAAAAAACAACGTTTAAAATATTTGACCATGTTGAAAATGATTATTTTGGATGTCAAAGACATTTTCATGGAAGAGCTGTTATTGCCCGTGTGAATTAGCTTAGTGGAAGTTCACGAGAAGATGAGGTGGAGAAAGGAGTTGAGTGGAACTGTATCTGACGCTCTGAGCAGATAGAGTTCACTGCTTTAGTTTCTTCTCATTTCAGGTTTCTGGATAAAACGAAGCACTTACGAAGAACAGCCGGTTGTGAGGTTCCAGTATGAGACTTTGCTGTTAGCAGCAACCAGTGCTCAAGGACATTATGTTGCCTGGAGCACTTTCCCTTTCCTTAACAACATGCTTGGGACCAACCTACGTATCCCCACTATCTCTGTAAGAAAACTCAACGTTCCTCTCCCTTAAGTTATTTCTGAATCACTGGTAAAATCTCTGCAGCTTTGATTTCATATTTTACACCTAAAAGGCTGAGACTGACTGCCAACCAGAGCAGGATGAATACTGTTGAAGTAAAAAACATGCTGGTGCTCAGCCAGCCAGCAGTGAGTCAGAACACAGAAAATTCACAGAAATAAAAGACTTAATAGTTGCTTAATATTTGTGAAAGTGAAAACATAAAGAAACCAGAAAAAGCTAAAACACATTTTTACTCTAAAGGAGGATCATTCATTTCCACGAGTCTCTTGTGCCTCTGCAAGTTTGTCTTTTGTAATTATGTATTTTTGTTTTGTAAATGAAATTGTGTTTTGTTTTCGTAAAGGTGAGAGAGGAGGACTTGAACCAGGATGGGAAACTGGACCGTTTGAACCTGCAACTGCAGCTTCCGCTGAAACCTGATGAACAAGTTTACAGCATTCAGCTGCTGCTCACCTTCAGCTACCAGCTCTTTGTATGTATCCCACTCCAGTAGCCGTCTCACAAAGAGCTCTTTCCATGCAGAGGAAGAGGATTTTTATTTGTGTCCAACGTGCTTTGAAGAAATATTTCAGCCACTTTGTCTTTGCATTAAAGGGGCATTATGGAAGTGTGACAGCCAAAACATGTGTAGAAATAATAAATGTCTTCTTCATACATTCTCCTGCAATGCCCTGGTCCTGTAGAATGAGCCCTGGCATTTTTACTGTGATTGCCTGTTTTTCTGTAAAATCACAGAAAAAGAGAGATGCTCGGGTCGAGCAGGCTGCTTCATGCGCGTTCACGCTCAGGCATCGCCCGTAGCATTTGCTATCCGTAGCTTTAGCAGCAGAGAGAGAGGCAGTGCCACTTTGTCGCTGTTCCTAACGCCTAGTGACAAAGCTAGCTACATTTCTGAGGACCCTTAGCTACTTTCTGTAGAACTTTCTTCTAGATATTTCCTGCTAATTAGCAACAAAATAGCCATTTTCACTCCCAACCGTTCTTTGAACGTTGTTTCAGCTGTCATCAAGGATATAAATGTTACAGATACAAAAGATGTCACTGACGCTTTAGCTCACCTGGTAAGATGTCTGACTCTCATGCAGAAGACCTGGGTTTGATTCTGGGTGTGAACATAGTTCATTTAGAGTTTCTTATTTACATTAATGGTATATTCTTTTACAGTAAGATGCCCAAATTTATATTTGAGACTCACCGAACGGCATTGAATTCACAGATAAAAAAGATGTGGGTTCAACTTTCATTTTGGAACAATTTTTCAAGCAAGGGAAGGGAATGATCTGAGCATGCAGGAGGACTGACCCATCATAAACCTTTGTCGGCTGTGCTGAAGAGAAAGATACAGAACCAAATTATTTAATTAATTAGCTGCACGTTCTCCTGTCCTCTGTCCTCCGGGCCACACACACACACACACACACACACACACACACACACACACGGAACTGTCTCAGCTGTTATTTTCGTTAAGGAGTGTGCACGTACAGCATGCGCGCCTCGTGCACGAGCCTACTATTGAAGCTGCTGTTATGCTTTTGGCCTGAGGGGGCGATCATGAGCATAAAAATTCAAAAGTCTGAAAAGTCCCTTTAAATTATTGTTGTTTAAATTTAATAGTCACAGCCTTTCCATTTCTCTGGTTTCTGCTAGCGGATGTCGACAGTGGTGATGCAGAGTCTGGCTTATGTGCAGCACTCCTCACCTGTACCTGGAGTTAAACTGTTCATCAGTGGAGACCTGAGGCTTCAGCAGAGGACACCGCTTCCTCATCGGGGCCTGTACAACATCTACAATGTGAGAATAGTGTTTATTCCTTATTTATATTAATTTATCCATCCATCCATTGTCTATACCCGCTTGTCCATGCGGGGTCGTGGGGGGGCTGGTGCCTATCTCCAGCAGTCTCTGGGCAAGTAGGCGGGGTACACCCTGGACAGGTTTCCAGTCCATCACAGGACAAACAACCACGCACACACACCTGCGGGCAGTTTAGAAAACCAATCAGCGTGACAGTCGTGTTTTTAGACTGTGGGAGGAAGCCAGAGTACGCAGAGAGACACCACACATGCACAGGGAGAACATGCAAGCTCCATGCAGAAAGACCTCAGGTTGGGATTTGAACCCAGGACCTGCTGCAAGGCAACAGCGCTAGCCACTGCTCCACTGTGCAGCCCTATGTTAAATGAATATGTTAAAGTATTATTTTTTGTGTTTACTGACCTAAAGGTGTCAGTGATCGATGGCACCAGCCCCTTTGCAAGTTCCTATGACCTCAGCAACATTATCAGGAGCTACCAGGAGAGAAACGGTAAGTAAGCAGAGGGATTTATTCTCTGCTGACGCCCACGGTCTCGGGTTTTGTATAATGAAGTATTTATAATTTTATAATTGTCTTTTCTTTTTTATTTAGTAACAACTGTGCTGTCTTGTCCAATGCCAGTGTGGACTATAGGACATGCTGCTGGTTCACCTTTTGAGCTTAACGCTGAAATCCGCTACCCGCTGGAGCTCATCAGATATCCTTTCATATCTAAAAGATCACCAAAAGGTGTTGTCTTGTGACTGATTTACCTTTTCGTCTGTAGGAGACGGATTACATAAACCATGACTCAGAGTTATAATTCTTCTAACGTTTTCTTAACTGCCTCCCTCCACTTATCGTCCTGGCTTCTGGGAAACCATCAAGTTTGCTTGGATCCAGTATGTCAGCGTTCTCCTCATCTTCTTGTGGGTCTTCAAACGCATCCAGAGATTTGTCTTTCAGAACCAGGTTGTAACAACCGTACCCATACCTGTAGGAAAACCTCACCTGTCGTGATGCAGAGCTGAAAGTTTATCTTTTAGGTTTTGACCAGATGACACCTTTTGTCAATTTGCTTCATGTCTGTAATGTTTGTTCTTTGGACTTCTTGTTGTTGATTCAGCTATATGTTATTGTCTAATCTGTTTATTCTGTAGGCTTAAGCATTCTAAAAGATGTTGTTATAAGATCATATACATCCTGATCTGCATCGGGGAACAAACTGTTCTTCTTTGTCACATTAAAACAACTTACACATCGTAGATATTACAAATCCTATGTTAAATTACGTGAGTTTCAACAGTTTAGTAACTTTTTTCATCTTATGTAGATTTTTCAACTTTTTTCTTATTTTTAAATCATTAAAAAAATTTTGTTTGATTTTAGCGGCTCAGTTGTAAAGAACATAAGGATATATTTTCTATATTGTTTTTTTTTTTACACATTTGAAACTGGTTTTGACAAAAATAAAGACTTTTTAAACTTATTATAGCTTTACTGGGTATTTATTAAACAACGTGTGAAAGGAATGAGTCGTTTGGAACTATCATGAGTAAAATAGGAGTTCTCGTATTAAAGCTGTTAAAGCACAACTTCTTTCCTAGGATTAGTTTTTAATCACGTGTTTGTGCTTGATGAAAAAGATTCAGTGGTCAAATAATGTAAAAACTAATTTTCACAGACAAAACTTCAAACATGTAAGCAGGTTTATCCCTATAGTGAACACAGTGGTGGCAGCATTATGGTGTGGGGGTTGTTAAGAAGCAGAATGAAAGAGACTGTTGAGAACTGAGGCCTAAGTAAATGCAGCCAAATCCTATAATCCTCTGCCTCTCCTAAAATAAAATAAATCTGTGAAGATGACAGCTCTGGTTTTCATTTTGAGAGTGTTGTGGATTCTTAAAAAATTCATGCAGCAGACTAAAGACTTGATTCAGCTAATTTCCGTTCTCTACTTTGTCTTCTGGAATCCTGACACATTCTGTTTATGGCGGCAAACGGATGATGCACATTCAGAACGGGGGATATTGTAATCTGCTGTGTTTTAGAAACTAGAATTTATTTCCTCTCAGGAGGTGCTTGGCAGCGTATAAATGCGTGTTTGTTTCTGGGATGTGAGGGTGTGTTTGGGTCCGGTTCCACATGTGTTAGATCACTGAAACGTCCCAGCTCTGGTTCAGGGTGGGACAGCTACAAGAGTTACACCCATTTAATTACAACAGCTTCAACATTTTAGAAAAATGTGTATCTACTGTACTTTAGACAACCCCAACTTGCAAAATCTTTTTGAGAAAGTCTCAAAAGCAAATTTGTTTAGAACTTTATTTGCTTATCTTTGAGCCAGTAACCACCTTGATCCCTCCTGCTTGTGCAGCTAAGTCTCATTCTCATTTTACACACACCTCTCAGTAGGTAGTTTGCAGGTTTTTTTACCTGAAGGTATTTAATTCTCTAAGTAGCTTTCTACAGATTCCCACTCTTAAAACAAAACTAATAAATCTGGAAAAGTCATCTAATATTTACCAATCAGCATCCATTTTGGCTCATGTGATATTTAGACACTGCCAATAAACTAGTTAACTTGTTGAAAACATACACAAATTTCTCTTAAAATGAAGAATTTTTGCATTAAGATTTGAAAATGTGCTCCATAACTTGTGATTTTAGCACGACCAATAAAGCAACATGGCAACGTCACGTTCTTGTCGAGGTCTGGAAATCTCACTTGTGTTAATCCACCAGATTTTACAGGAAACGTTCCTGTTCACAAACTTCATATGGAAACAAAAACACATGGTTTACTCCGCAGATCACCTTAGCTTGTGAGATTTATAATCTCGACAGCAACTCGAGAGCTTCTTTACAAAACCTTCAGTTGCTGAGATGATAAAGTTTTATAGCAGCAATAAAAAAAAGATTATCTTACCTGATAACAGTGCTTTCACACATTGTTATGCACAGCATCTAGTCTAAATGACAGCTTTGTTTCCTTTTTGAATAAACCACTGACTGTTTTAAACTGATTCCAGATCAGCGCTTCAGGGAAACGTCCCAGCTCTCTCCATCCTGCTTTTCCTTGTGCTTTGAACTTGTATACAGAGCAGTGGAGGACAGGATATGAGTCTCCTTGCAGGAACCAGGTGCATCCTTTTCATTCAATCCTTATTTTTCCACAACAAAAACCACGTGACCCATCTCCTGCAGAATGTTCATCAAGTCTCAGATTCATACCAAGTGTGTCTGTTTGGGTTCAATTTATATTTAAAGGGAAATATCGACATGTTTTTCTCTTTATCTTTGATGAATCTATTTACAAAATAAAAGCTTTCATAGTCAGGCTGTGTGATGTGGACACAGATAACAACCAAGTTATTTTTCTCCTCAGAGTGAAAAAGAAGAGTCGAACTGATTGTTTATCAAGTAAGCACAGATATGGACAAATGGGAATACAATTGTTGGAAAACTAGTTTCAGAATAAAGTCAAATGTCAAGAAAAAGTCTAAAGTAGGCTAATTCAAGAATAGCCCAAAGACGTGAAACCCGCTTATTAATTCAGCTTTAACCAAGGGTTATGGGTGGGTTTTAATGAGTAAACTATAGAGAATTAAACATTTTATTAACCACAACACACAGGATTACCATCAGTCCTTCACAATAAGAGTCTGAAACATACACAAGCACCTCAATACATTTGAAACATTTCAAGATAATTTATTAATATTGTTCTCTGGTAAAACTCTTAACACTTATCTGTTTACAGCTTTTAAACGTTTGTCTCAAAATGGTAGTTGGACTTTATTCTGGAAATATTTTAACTTTCCCCATCAGCATTTAAACTTCAGTCTCACACTTCCTTTTTCTCCCTCAGTGGCCCTAATAGTGGCAACACTGTAAAATACAGCAGAAGTACAGTCTCCTAAGTGTAAGAATACTTTTATAAACTTCTCTTTTATTAAACTGACATTTTAATGTATTGATGGCCTTGTCCCATAGCTGGTGTGCAGAATAAGCTGCAGACTGGAAAAAGGAGCAGCTGGAGACTGAAAACCAGCTGAAAACCAGCTAAATAAAAAACATTGTTTGGTCAGTCCTTACTCTCATCTAGAGGACCTCAGATTTGGAACACAAGTGAAAAATGGCTTAAATTAAACCAAACATGTGAAAGCAATTGTTTTATATTGATTATATTAATTTTATTCACATTAACTTAATGTGTGTGTGTGTGTGTGTGTGTGTGTGTGTGTGTGTGTGTGTGTGTGTGTGTGTGTGTGTGTGTGTGTGTGTGTGTGTGTGTGTTGTGGGGAAATGTTTGTGTCACTTTAGTAATTACAGCTCACACATGAGCAATAAAAAGAGTAAAATTAAAAATTAAAGGCTAAGATTAGAATAAAACAAGAAAAAAAAACAATGTAGAAATACAGAAAAAAACTCAATGGTTAAAAAATGTCTAACTATTGGATACACACACATTTTAAGAAATAAAAAATGAAACGTAAATGCGAAGTTTGCCCTTGGTCAAATCTAATTTAGGTTTCTCTAAACTGAGACCATTCTAAGAGCTACCTGCCACAGGTGAGATTACAGTTCATACTCGCCAAGGAAACCCATCTGAACTTCCCCGCTAGAGCTGCACGGGAGGGCCACTGACTGAGAGAGCACTTGTGTGAGCGCCCTTGTGTTATGACCCCATGTTTGCCACGGTGTGTCATATTGTTTCGAAGTGTTCTGCCCTTACCTTTCTTCTCATACTGAGCGACCTTCCTAGCAACGTCCTGGAGCAAGATGGCCGCCCCAATGTGCAACGTCCTGGAGCAAGATGGCCGCCCCAATGTGCAACGTCCTGGAGCAAGATGGCCGCCCCAATGTGCAACGTCCTGGAGCAAGATGGCCACCCGCTGGGGATGGAGCAAAGCCCAGACTGCTTCACCACAACGAGATCCTTCCGCTCGCTCCTCACCAGGTGGAACCAATGCGACTCATTAGCCAATAAGCAACTTGGAAGAGGTTTAAAAGCTGAAAGAACCATTGTTCAGTAAACTTCCTGTAAGCAGGTAGACTCATGTGGGCTGGTGAAGGCAGATAAGAGTTATCTCTTTATAGTAAGTCCTCTGTGCAAATAAGTAGAATCTTAGTAAAAGGTCTTTAACTTCCCCAGTTGCTACTGTGAGTGTCTTTCTAGTGTTTGGGAGTTAGAGTTTAAAAACCTTTTTGAGAATCTTTAGTTCTGAGTGGAACATTGGTTCCTAAGCACCTTTAGTTTTTTTTTACTCTCTTTTGGTAAAATACCTTAGTTTGTATTCTCTGTATTAAGGTAGAGGCTTATCTTTAAAGATAACTGGTCAGCAGAGAGAGCTGGTGTACTTCTAGTTATTAAACTCTCTTCAGAATTATTCTTTTTTTTTACTGGTTTAGTTGTTTTTTTGTTAGAACCAGCCCATGATTTTATGTTCCATTTATTAATTTTATCTAGAAATAAAAATACTTGTTTTCACAAGTTTATCTTCTTCTTTTTTTAATTTCTCCATTTCCCTGCCATCCCTTATAAAAGGAGAAAGGGGAGCATAACACCTTGTTGGTGGGATCATAGCTCCACTCCACTGCTCGGGTCCGTTCCGCCCACCTACCGGCAACCTCCGCCCAGTTGACCCAGCATCAGAGCAAACCCACCGGACAAGTCTCAGAGCTCCGCTCGGCAGAGGTAGCGGGGAGTCCGAGCAGCTGGTGTCCGAGGGCAGCGGGGAGGAGCGGGGAGCGCCTCGGGGGTAACTCGGAGAACGGCACTCTCCTGGAAGTTAGCACCTCCGTTATAAAGGTAAACACGTTGTTTTATTTGTTTATTATTATATTTGACTGGAAAAAGGAAGTTTGGTCACAAACGATGCTCTGTAGCTTTCGCTTCTTTCCAGTTTGAACCAGTTGCCCTTCATGTTTGATTTCGTTAGCGGACCGTTATCATGTGGGAAGCTTTGCTGCGTACTTAACAGTTACATTAATTATCTTCCTAATTTTGGGCACCTTCAACTCAAAAATACTCAAATCAAACGTATAGTTTATAATAACCCCCACAGGTGAGCTTCGGGTCTTCCAGAACACCCTTTTTATTCAATATAAGGTCGACTGAGCTAACCCGGTGTTTCACCGAATTTTGTCACCATGTGGCTCTGTGGTCAAAATCTTAACGGTCAGAAACCTGATTTATTGTTATTACCCTGTTTGCTTTTTGGCTGAGAAGTGTCCTGCTACAGCTGAGATAACCGCTACTCAAAGAAAATATGTCGAATAGAAAACTAGATAATTGCCTATAAGAAATGATGACAAGCTGAAAACTAAACATTTATAGGTTTAAAGCTCAACAGGCCATAAAAGTTCAATTTTTTAAGCATGCATCGTTATTTGCAATAATTTTTTATTAACAATAATAAAAGCCCAGATGTGTTTCTATTCTTGGTGATGTAGTTTAATCTGTATCAGACAGTAAAATGTGAAAATCAGTATAAAGTTAACTGTGAACGGTTCCTTTCAGAGTAAAAGTTTGAAATGAAAGCACAAGATTTGCTCATTAAGGTACTGTTCTGTCTGATATATGATCACTCACTAAAGGAGAAACTTTAATAGCCCACAGGCATTGTTCATTATAAACATCTTCATATTTAGCTTGTTTTAGTTTGGCACAAAGGGGTGGTTTAGCTGGGTGTGACTCACTTTTATTTAGAGAACATGCCAGAAAAGAAGCTGCCTCTTTGGGACAGTTGCACTTTAACAGAAGAGAAACTCAGATCTTCTACTAAAATTGTAGAAATATTGTTAATGTAGGTTTAACCAAATGAGACGGTAAAAAGAAGAGAGCATGAAAACGATTACAACAATAAAACACCTGTACAAAAAATATGCAACATCCTGAGGATTTAGATGTGTTTAACAGTTAACCAGTAATAAACCCTGAGGTGGACAGGGAAGTGCACAAGAGGTCACTAAATATGAGCCTTTACATTATCATTAGTTATGAAAAGTTTTAATTTATGTAATGCAAATGTGCAAGAATGCACCTAATATAAAGATAAACACGTTTTGTAACTATTATATTTATTGATGTATTAAAACAGCAATCCTGGGTGGAAGGTTTAAAGCCTCGTCCTTTCAGAGGAAGCTGTGTAAACTGAAACTAGAAAACTCATCTAACAGAGTTGCTAAAGCACATATTTAAGTTCAGTGATTCAGTGCACATTACCTAAACATTTCAACATGACACTATTGGTGTAATTAATACAGCGTGGTGCGGAGACCGCTCTGTTCTTTAGCCCTGAACCTTTTATGCAAGTCTCTTCCAGTTGGTAACGTTGGTAAATTCCTCCAGATTTCAGACTTTCTCCCCGACAGCCTCTAGCTGGATTGAGTTAGGAGAAAATACCATCACATGGGATCTCCACAGGGACGCGTTCTTTGTCCCCCATTGTTTACTCTGTGCTGCAAACTGCTGCAACCCTCCTCATTAGGGTGCATTCTGCAGACTTCTGCAACCTCAAACTGATTGTTGAATAAAACAAAAACACGTTAGATCTCAATTAGGAAACGGCCCATGCACTACTCCGTCAGAGACTGCATCTGGTTTCTAAGGGTGCTTGTGACTCTGGATAGAAATAATCATCTCGCTTAAATTTCTTGGCACATCTGAATCTGTCTCCACCATATCTCCCTATCAGCATCGTAGAGGTGAGTGTTGTGGGAGGAAGCGTCTCTGTGGTATAAGAACTAACACCTCGAATAGAAAGACTCCGAGGGGAGTGGTTGAGCCAACAGAGACGTACTGATCTCTGCACAGAACCTGTCCCAGAAGCTTGTAACTGAAGTGACCAGAATCACAAAAGCTCCTCCCACCTCATAAACCAGAGCCCTCCTGCCTATAGGAGCCCACAGAGCAGCAAGTGTTCAGCAGCGATTAGACAGGTAAACAAAACAAAGATGGAGCCTTTAGTTTCTCTTCTTGCTCAGTGTAACTTGTCACACCTACAAACCGTCTACTTTACAATCATTTGAGTGAAGAATAAAGTGACAGAAGAGAAGAACCTAGCATCAGATTTGTATTTGTGTATTTTATCTCTGTAAAGTGTCCTTGAGTGTTCAGAAAGGCGCTGTTGAAATAAAATGTATTATTATTATTATCAGATTTACTCGAAGATCTGGGAACAACAACCTGTTTGGTTGTTCTACTTTAAACAATTAAATGTTCTCTTATAAAGTAAAAATTGTTAATGCAGAAAGAGCATTACTCCTGCGTGTAGATGTGTTCTCTGCATTTGTGCATCTTTTTTGTCCTCCACTCCCAACACTAATCTTCTAACCTGCTTTCAGGACTGGTACAATAGATAATCAAGGTCGGCTGCTTCACGAATGGCTAGCTAAAATACAAAGCGTGTGTACAACATGTAGCTAAATATACGAGTAAAAGCTCAGTTAGCTTGCTATAGATAACGTCTTGTATTTCATTTTATATCTATTATACGTTAATATTTAGATGCATGCTGTACAAGTATTTTATTTATTAGTTGGACATATATTTTTATTTTTGAGGGACACTGGTCATGTGACTTCCTGCCTGCTCAACCAGCTGACATTGTACAAGGTAGAGCTGACTAAAATACATTTCTTGTCCAGACGAAGGCCTCGTTGGCTGAAACGCATAGACACGATTTTATTTAACTAGGCATGGGTAAATAAAGGCTTTTTAATCCTCATCCTCCAGAATGCCTCAGATCCCTTTGAATAATTTATTTGAATGTAATCCTCTAACCTTTAAGCATGTAAAGTTTACTATTTATCTGCCTATCAGGATACATTTTAGATGGGTAATGATGTTCTCATTCCTCCTTTTGTTCACATTTCTTTCCTTGCAGAGGAGGCGGTCCTTTTCCCCACAGCAGATGGTCAAAGGTGGATTTTCTCATCACCATGAGTCCCCGCTACAGAGTTAACTTCAACACCATGATCTTCCTGGTCATCCTGCAGGGGGCAGCAGTGGTGCTGTTCTGCCACTGGTACATTCAGCTCACCCCCTGCGAGTCTCCCCCTCCTCAAAGGAAAGTTCATGTCTTGTTGCTGTCGTCATGGCGATCGGGTTCGTCCTTCCTGGGTCAGGTTTTCAGTCAGCACCCGTCTGTTTTCTATCTGATGGAGCCCGGTTGGCACGTGTGGACCAGAGTGCAGAAATCTGGAGCCCGGCTCCTCCGGATGGCTGTGAGGGACTGTGTCCGGAGTCTCTACCAGTGTGACTTCTCAGTGATGGATGCCTATCTCCCAGAAATCCACAACATGTCATCCTTATTCATGTGGTACCAGAGCCGGGCTCTGTGCTCGCCGCCCATCTGTTCCATCACAAAACGCGGTCAGATGAGCAACCACACTCAGTGTCGTCTGAAGTGTGACGCTCAAAGTCTGCAGAAGGTGGAGGAGGCCTGCAGGTTATACAGCCATGTGGTGTTAAAAGAAACGCGATTTTTTGAGCTGGAGTCTCTCTATCCTCTTTTGCAAGACCCTAACTTGGATCTTCGCATCGTTCATCTGGTCCGGGACCCGCGGGCCGTGATGCGTTCCAGAGAGGAGTCTGCTAAATCCTTTGAGAGAGATAATGCCGTTGTCCTGGAGCAGAGAAACGTCCCTTCGGGTGAAGTTCAGTACAAAATGATGCAGGAAATCTGCCGGAGCCACGTTCGCATTAATGAGAGGGCCGTCCTGAAACCTCCTCCGTTCCTAAAGGGTCGCTACAAAATGGTTCGCTATGAAGACATAGCACGCAACCCGCTGAAGGAGATCAGTGATATTTATGATTTTGTTGGTTTGGATTTGACCGATGAGATGGCTGAGTGGATCTACAAGGTGACTCATGGAAAGGGGAGAGGCTCCAGGACGGAGTCTTTTCAGATAACCTCCAGAAGTGCTGCTGATGTATCTCAGGCTTGGCGCACCGCTCTGCCTCACAACAAGGTTAAGCTTGTTCAGGAAGTATGTAAAGGTGCCATGTCTCTGCTCGGCTACAAGACAGTGGACAGTGAAAAGGAACAGAAGAGATTTGACATCGATGTGTTGGTTCCACAGGAACCGTATCAGTTCAGCTGGGTATCGACAAAAACGCAGCATCCAAGTAAAAGTTAAAAATTGGACGTCACAGATCTGCCTCCTGGATCCACCTCGGCCGTGTCGACTCAGACGGATTCATGACCAAAAGGGACAAGGGGACAGTGGGATTGTTCTCTCAGCCAACACGTTCTGTTTACATGATTCAAATAAAGCATTCAGTGGTGTCGTACGAAGAAGTTGGTTTCTATAGAATCGCTGAAACTTAGTCTGCAAAGTTTGATGACTCAGCTTTTTACCGTTTAGTAGACTGTAAGTTTTGTAGAACACACACACACACACACACACACACACACACACACACACACACACACACACACACACACACACACACACACACACACACACACACACACACACCACACAACACACACACACAGCGCTCCTCCAAGTCACTTTAATGTTTCATGCAAAAGTTCTGGAGACAGTCGAGACAAACACTAAATATGCAGCGTCATGGGATGATTTGAATGAATCAGCATCTCTTGTCTGAGTTTCATGCTAAACCTGAAGGCTGTGCTGTAGGAGAGCCTTCCTGAGACGGGATGCATATTTTTGTTTTGCATCTAAAACTGGGCTGAAGGAGATTTACACAAAAGCGTGAAGGGACTGTTTTTGTTGCAGCATTCTGGAGCTTTTACTAAAGATGAAAACACTTCTAGATGCTATGAAGTGAGACTAGACACCTAAAACGTTACAGCAGGAGATGGAGATTATTTTGTATTGTTGAACACCGAAGGCGAGGAGGATTTACTAAATCCCTCCGTCCACACTAACTTCTTTTAATTTATACAACAACCCACTCTGTCTAGTGTAACATGCATCATATAATAGTTGTTAATGAGCAACAAATCAAATGTTAAAGCGTTTAAAAGCTGCGTGTTGCCGTTTGACTCGGCTCCTCTGTAGGATATTTATTTATTTATTTTTGCTTTGAGGTACTTAAGCTTGAGGCGACCTCTGCGGATCCTCGCCTTTTGGTACCGGACAGCTGAAGGTAAAATGTTTAAATGAAGAAACGTAAATCGGCTTTCTTCTGCTTCTGTCTGTCCACCAGCTCCTCTTATGAAACGTTTGAGTGTTGAGGATAAATAATTCTGGAATGACTCATTTTTAGCAGCGGCAGTCGTCGTTCTTCCTATTTGTCTTCTTGATTGTTTGCATTACAGTATCTAGAAAACGACATTCATTTTTCCATTTTGGTTTCTAATTTTTATTTTTTATTTTGCAATAGCTCTACTTGGGTTTTTCATTTTCTGTTGTGTTGAGTCATTTTTCACGTTCTGGTTACTTTAAACTCTTCTTTTGTTCACTGCCGTTAAAGTTTATTCCTCTACGTTTGTTCATTGTAAGGTCTCTGAACGTTTAAGAAAAGGTTCCCACAAAATAAAGTATTGATAAGTGACCCGCACTTTGATAGCGCCACTCGAGTTGGAGCACCCCAAAGCACTTTACACTATAAAATTATGATGACGCGTTTCTCCGTGTACACAGGAGTCAGAATTCCCAGATGCTAGCAGTAATCTAACCTGTCGTGTTTCACAACAACCCGGAAACAAAACCTTTAATGTTAATGAGGAAGATTATTGCTCAGCAAGTGAAAGAATGTTGGTTGTGTTTCTGAAACACTTTTTAGATTTGATGATGCAAATGAAGCCCTTACACTTTTATCACCTGCAGAAGAATCGTTGAAGAATAAGTTCCTCGATCGGAAAACGGGCGACTATCTTTTCTCTCCTTTGGCACACATTTGAACTCGCAGTTGTTCATGTCGACCGACTACAACTCCGTATGCTTCCTTGATCTTATCATCATATAACTATGTGCACTACATTTTATCTACGCTTAAACCACACCTGAGGGACTTCTCTGTTTACCACAGGCCTTTTCCAGCAATACTGGGAATTTCAGGATGAGTAAAACCAAATGAATACATGCAGCGGGAATTCTGTTTTCTTTAGAACTTTCATAAAAAACCTCTGGATGTGGCATGACAACATCCTTTTCCGGTTTATAAACCTTCCTCTTTCTGTTCTCGTTGATGGGAATGCACTACCTGACTTGGGATCACCTGCTGAACCAAGGCTCCGCCCATGTCACAGGTGTACGGTGCGGAAAACGGAGAATAACAAGGATCACAGGTTTCTCCAGAGGCAGCAGCGTTCATACGGTTCATACAATCAACAAAGGTAGTTATTCATTATTATTTTTATTAACAGGGTATTCGCGGGTCCTTAAAGTCTTAAATCTGCTTTTCCAAATTTAAGGCCTTAAAAATCCTTAAAAATGACAAATAATCCTTAAATCCAGTTTCCAAAGGTCTTAAATGACCAAAGACCCAATAAATAAGATTCTTTTACTTCTAAAAAATGTTGGTGATTTCTAGTTAGTGTTCAGCATTTTTTGTGTGTGTGACGGCGTAAGCGGAGCCGTACACATTCAGCCGGTCGTGAAAGGCTATTTTTAGCTACTATGACAAGGTTGAAGAGGGACATCGATGTGAACTGCTGTTTTTGTGGAAGCCACCCTGAGACCGTTCAGCACCTCTTCTGGATCTGTTCACGTGCTACAACGTTTTGGAAAGACTAGCAGATTTATTATCGGACAGCTCTACAATGACTTCCTTTTAAAATGGGAAAATGTTTTTTTTTTTTTGCAAGCACAGAAAGGAAGATGTAGACTTTGTTATAAATAATTATGCTAGCTATATTCTATCTCCACAAATGCACGTATAGTAACCAAAAACCTAATTTCAAGCACTGTTATAGTGACACTATCTTACATAATTGATTAGTGGATCACTAAACAAAAAAGCTTTAAAAACTAATTATTAGCACTATGTAACGTGATGAAGGAGCTCTTCCTCCAAGGTTATTTAACCTCTCTCCACAGACGCCTCTGACACAGCGCTCGAGTGCAGGAGACAGCCTCAAGGTCATGCATTTGCTTCTAAAACTGTTTACTGTCCAGCAAGAGAAGAAAGAAGATAAAAGACTCAATCCTTTTAATAAATCAAAGAACTCTATTTTTAATAAAGCTAATCAAAACAAGTGTTAGTCAATAATACAATGTGACGGATCTGTGAGATAATGTTATGATTAATATGTTTTAATAACTAATATGACTTAATCTAGTTCACTGATACACGTAATGAAAACGCGTGACACATCGCTGTTACTGATCCCATCAGAACCTTCCTAGTCTGAAGCGTGGCAGAGTCCCTGTGGTGTTTATAAATCTGCCACCTTTGATTCGACCAGAATTCAAAACAGTCAGTTCTCAAGATCTCACTGGAGTTCACCGCGTACTAAGCGGAGTAATCGGACCGGCCATCCGGACTTCCCTTTTTAAGTTGAGAAACAAGCTGGAAAAATCTTGTTTTTACCAACCAAGCAACGGTTCCTTTCAGAATAAAAGTTGAACTCACTGACCCAAGGAGGGTCCCTTTTGACGCTGTGAACCACCTGTCGCTTTTTACCTGGAGACAATCTAGAGACTAGTTTGTCGTGCTGTTGACGCTGTTTCATCGGCTCCTGTACCAACGGGGGGTCCGAGGACCTGACATTCTGGATCTGTAAGGAGGTCTCACCTCAAGGGTATGTGTGGATGCGACAAATATGGCGTCTCATGTGTTTATGAAACTCCGATCAAACTCTGATCATAATTAGAAGGAAAACATCATCCATCACTCAGACTTGCTTCTCCGGATACGAGAGTTCTGATAATAACACCACTCACACACACCATCCATCTCACGTCTCATTCAAACAGATCCATCCTCATTAGTTAGGGTTAGTTGTTTAAATAATTTAGTAATAACTCATCTTAAAAGTTTAAAGGACCCTCTCTTCTCTTGTCTCTCAGTTAATACAAAGTGTTACAAAATCCCTGCAATAAAAAGTCCCAATCTTCTGGTTAAATAACTCAACGGTCCGTAAGATTGATTCCATACTCGATATGCAATCTTAATGTCTCACGGTCCTTAATTAGATGTAAATTAACTTCTTTACAACTACCTACAATTTATTTGGATGTGTGTAACATTTCTGTAGTGCACCCCCTGGCATATGTTTCATGTTCTCTGTTCAGTTTTGTATGCAATTTGTTTTACTCATCACCTTGTTCAGTTTTACTCATCACCTTGTTCAGTAAGTCACCTGAGGACACAGCGTTTGCTAACAAACTCAACAAGCTCAGAGCGGAACCAGACTAACACGCTTCTGACTCAGGCATCACATTCACATTGTTACAACATCAGAAATCTGCTCAACGGCACACAAATGTTGCTTCGGCTCGGCTTTAGCTGTCCGGAGCATCATCAGAGAGCAATCAGTGGCTGAAACCGGATCTGAGCGTCCAAATGAGAATAGAAGCTCACACAGGAAACTCAGCTGAAGCTTTCTGGAGTCGGATCTACATCACATCGTGTTTTAGCGTTACAGATGTGTAGGTTGTAGTTCTTTCTCTGGATTTGAAAAGAATGCATCATAAAAGATGATTTACTGAACTTTCCACGCAGGAAAAGGGATTTATACAGCAGCTATTTGAATAACTCATTCGTTCAAGTGTAGCAGGGGAACTGTTTATCTGACGAAACCAGACGTGAAACGTCTTCTTCGGTCATTTAGTGCCAAAACGCTTCAGTGCGTCTAAAATGCAACACACCTCCTGAGACTGACACAAACAAACAAATCACTCATACAGAGTTGTTTGGTTAGAGCTCTTACATTACGTAAAAGGCAGGTTTTAAATATAACTTTGTCTGGTTTGTTTCGTCCTCCTGTGCAGAAAAGGTGGTTTGCATAAAGAGAAAGGCTGACGGGAGATTCGCAGCATGAGTAGAGCGTTCTCCAGGGGCGTTTTCTTCCTGGTCATCCTGCAGGGCGCAGCAGTGGTGCTGGTCTGCCACTGGTTCCTTCAGCTCTCTCCCTGCTCGTCTCCTCCTCAAAGAAAGGTTCATGTCTTGTTGCTGTCGTCGTGGCGTTCGGGCTCGTCCTTCCTGGGTCAGGTTTTCAGTCAGCACCCGTCTGTTTTCTATCTAATGGAGCCCGCTTGGCACGTGTGGACCAGAGCAGAGAGACCTCGGGCCCGGCTCCTCCGGATGGCTGTGAGGGATTGTCTATGGAGTCTCTACCAGTGTGACTTCTCAGTGATGGATGCTTATCTCCCAGAAAACCCCAGAGTTTCCTCTTTATTCATGTGGACAGAAAGTCAGGCTCTGTGCTCGCCTCCAGCCTGTTCCATTACAGCAAATAATGAGACCCAGTGTCTTCAGAAATGTGACGCTGCAGGTCTGCAGACGGCGGAGAAGGCCTGCAGCTCATACAGTCATGTGGTGATAAAAGAAACACGATTATTTGAACTGGAATCTCTTTTTCCTCTGTTGCAAGACCCTACTCTGGATCTCCGCATCATCCATCTGGTCCGGGATCCACGGGCCGTTCTGAGGTCCAGAGAGGAGTCTGCTGCATATTTGGAGTTTGATGACGCTGTTGTCTTGGGGCAGAAGAAGGTAGATCAGGTTCAGTATGAGGTGATGAAGGAAATCTGCCAGAGCCACATTCGCATCAGTGAGACAGCTTTCCTGAACCCTCCATCATTCCTGGGAGGCCGCTACAAACTTGTTCGCTATGAGGATGTGGTACGCAACCCTATAAAGGAGGCCAGTGATCTTTATGATTTTGTAGGGTTGGAGATGACTGAAAAGGTGGGTGAATGGATCTACAGGAAGACCCGCGGAAGGAGGAAAGGCACTTGGAAGGACGCTTTTCAGATTATTTCTCGAGACGCTACCCAGGTGTCTGAGGCCTGGGGCACCATGCTGCCTCACAGCAAGGTTAGCCTCATTCAGGAAGTGTGTAAAGAGGCCATGTGGCTGCTCGGCTACAGGAAAGTCGACAGTGAAAAACAACAAAAGACACTTGATCTGGATCTGTTAGATCCACTGGATCCACATAAAAACCAACGAAATACTTAGTTATCAGAGCGGCTTCACAGATGTACCTCCGGTCTGAGAACTGTGCAGACTGATCGAGCACAGACGTGTGTGCAAATCAGTTCTGCTGTTGAGATTTAAAGGACCAACCAAGAACTCTGTTTGCAAATGAGCTTTCAGCTAGAAAGTCTGAACAGGACAACGGCTGCGTTGTTCTTACAAGTGAGCCTTTTTGTGCTCCTCAATCAAATAAACCTAAACTAAACTGATTGTAATGTTTTTCCGTTTTGTTCAATTCAATTCAAGTTTATTTATAAAGCGCCAAATCACGACAAGAGTCGTCTCAAGGCACTTCACAAAATTAACATTCTAATTCAGGTCAGTTCATTAAGCCAATCAGAAATAAAGTTTCCTATATAAGGAACCCAGCAAATTGCTGTAAAGTCACTGACTAGTGTCAGTGACTTTACAGCAATCCTCATACTAAGCAAGCATAAAGCGACAGTGGAGAGGAAAACTCCCTTTTAACAGGAAGAAACCTCCAGAGAATCCTGGCTAACCCCGGGTTTCCACGGGAGCCGTCAGCAGCACGTTACTGCAGCAGCACGTCTTGCTCGCGTAAACTGCTGCTTGGCCCTTCCCACGAGACGCGAAGCAGCAGGAGAGCAGCTGTCACCGACCGAGCACGAAGTCACACGAGTGACTTCGTCAGTAAACACAACAACAAGCAGGAGAAAACTACAACATGGTTTGTGTTTTATGTTCTGTCCGTTTTATAATCGCCAATACGGACCTGAAAAACAACGGAGACCGCTAGCTAGGTGATAACTTCTCACGGGGACGCACAGTTAGTAACCTTTTTTAAAAGTAAAGCAACCGGAAAGCAGTACGTTCTTTATTCTGAAAATCTCGGTAGCTTCTCTCCTTTTCCGCGTCCGATTTCCTGTCTTTCCTTCCCCAAAAATGTCGAACTTGACCCGTTTCAGAGGCGTCGCGCGTAGAAAATAGAACCGGCGCGTAAAGGCCGCGACATGCTGCTCCTGAGACGCGGCCGACTCGCGCTGCTGACGGCTCCGGTGGAAAAGGTTCTGTTGACCACAGCGGTTCCTATCAGCAGCTATGACGTGCTGCTGCAGTAACGTGCTGCTGACGGCTCCGGTGGAAAGCCGGGGTCAGTATAAGCAGCCATCCTCCACGACTCACTGGGGATCGAGAAGACAGAACACACAAACACACACACGCGCACGCATGTGCGTGCGCACGCTAGGGGTTGTATGAACTAGTCGACTAGTCGACTTCACGGCTCTGTAGTGACTTTTTATGCCTGTCATTGACTAGTCGCTGTCACGTGATAATGACTGACAAGATGCAGTCCTCGGAAAAGACAGCAGGTGACGAGCCCCTGCGTCGGGAGGCGGAGGTGACGCACTGTGCCAGAGCGTCTGACACCGGCGGTAAACCGGACATTTAACCAAACTGTGACCTTTTCCCTCTTGCAATTTTACCTCCCCCTCACCCCCATCCTAATCTTAACCAGTTTGCGCATGCAAAGCTCTGATCGTTGATGCGCTCCAGACATCTGCGCCCTGAGCACCGCCAAATCAGGTGTCACCACCTCAAAAACAAATTAAACACGTGATCGTTCATGTCTGTTTCTGTCTGTTATTTGTGCCTGATGTGTTTGGATTGTCATTTTCTTCTGGTGGGATGCTGCCAGCTGTTTTATGCGTCCACTGCCTAGGCATGATGTAAAACTGAGACCAGTGTAAAATGACAGCATGGTAGGGGAAAGGTTGTGACACCTTTTCAGATCTGTTACAACCCACCCCATGCCAGGCTACCATTGAAAAGCCAACCGTTTTTAGGATTTTGCTTCAAAGCACTTGTGCTAGATATCAAATCAACGAAGAAAAACTGCTGCTTGAGCTGATGTAAGTCAAACAATTGCATCTATAACACAATGCAAAACATGTTTGTGATAAAATTGTTTTACTTTCTTACCTGAAAATTAGTTTTATTGTTCCAGAACAGACTTAGAGGCGTGTGGCTTTGCCAGTGTGGTCAGTTTGCAAGTGGGCATAAACTGTATTCATGACACCAACGTAGCTCGTTTTGTGTTGCAGCCATCCCCGGTCTCCCTGAATGAAATGTAAAACAATATATACAAAATGTAATCTAAAACTAAGATAAAACATTAAAAAAAATTCTAAAGAAAACCAAATGCCCCTTCACACACCCGTTGCCATGGAAACTGACTGATGCTCTTTCAGGCTCTTCACGAGCAGCAGATCTGACTCACAGCATCTCCTTGCAGGTGCAAATGTGTGAGGTGTGCAAGTCTAGTCTTTCTGTTAGGTTACCGCTCTGTCTGCTCTACAGAAGCACTCGGCCTTAAGGTGAACTCTGATTTCGTGGGACCTCGTTCCAGCCTCTGGTGTAAATGTACTGTTTGCTTCATAAAAACAGCACGTTCACATTCAGCTGAAAAGTAAAATGTCTTCCTTTGTAACAGAGTAGTTTTTTTTTTTTTACAATCATTGTTTTAAAGTGGGCCAGTTTGTTTTGAGCGTGATGAGAAAGTACGGAAACATTGGCGTGTGATCAGTTCAGACCGTATTCAGTAAACAAAAATCCATCATGGCGGTCTATTTGGGAGTCCAAAAGCAGTGATTAAAGCAGGAGTAAAATACCCCAGAGACGTCTAAATACATGAACAAAAAGGATTATCGACAGTGCTCTAGGTATCTGACCCCAGAACAAATTAAAGAGCAAGTCACCCCCTACCAGATTCTTACTCAACTCCTACTTCCTGCTTGAAAAATGCAACAAATGCTGTTGCCTAGCAGACCGAGAGGGCGGAGCCGCTAACAAATACACACACTCACAACATTGTGAAACCATAGTGTACCTCTTAGCCAATAGCGATGGCAGATTTAAATTCGAATGCAGTGCAGCGTTTTTGCCTGACGACGGTGCATCGCTGACAGTTTTAGGCAGAATATTTTAATTTTAACTAAGATGCACTAAAGTGCCGAATTATTGACTACACGTGTCTGCAGCACGATCAGACACTCATTTATATAGTTTATCAGCAAAAAAATGTTGATTTGGAGTGACTTGCTCTTTAAGAGGCAAATAGACAATCAGGTGAACTGGACAGTTGCCCTTATTTGTGTGTACAGGAGCAAGTGTATGTGAGACATAAAAATACAGTTAAATATGAAAAATAAACATTTAGATTTTTAGAAAATAAAGTTATGTATTGTAGTTGAGTTCAACTCAAAACAAAAACAAATAAATTACTTTTGTTTTCATTTAATTTTGCTTGTAGAAATCCAACATGCATGTCATTTGTCATCCACAAGGGGGTGCTGCAGCAGCCTCAGCACCCCGACTTCCCGGGCCTTGTGTGCAAGCCAAACGTTAGTCATGAAAAACATCTTTACTTGCATGCTTTATTGAGGAACTACATGCATAACTTTATGCGATGATTGAATGTGTCCATGTAAGTGGAGCTCTGGTAACCAGTGACAGGCAACAGGCATCAGCCAATGCACACCACGGTTGAGATCCTCGGTCCATTACAGATGTTAGTATTTATTTATTCTTTTTTAACTTGAGTAAACTTGAGTTCTCACTGTTTCTGTTTACTTTTAAAAAGCGTCTTTACCAGATTTAGCCTAAAATCCAAATAATCCAAACATGTCATAACAAAGCTGCAGTCCTGATCAAGATGTTTGGAACGTGTTTTAAATCTAGACTCGGGACAATCCACTCTTATAGTTTCAGCCCATTTCATTAGAAAAGTGACTTTCACCTGTTTAAGTAGAATATTCATATATCCAAGCTGCAGAAGAACGACGCGATTCATCCACCAGCTCTCCCAAAAAGGTGCTTTTCCATGATGCTTCATCGTTTCATCAACAAAAGGTCCCGAGCTCCTTCCTGTACAGACCACTCATGTGAAACCTGAAAAATTACAAAATGGTGCAAAAATCCTGAAAATCTAAAGGCTCGGGAATCCTTTGCAGATGTTCTGGATTCATAAGTATAGATTCGATCAGATTAGAGTTCCTACTGAATCTTTTTACAATATTCTAATAATCTGAGATTTCGAATTTGGGATTTTTATAATAATCACAGTTACAATAAAGAAAGGCGTCAAATATGGCTATCGTATATAACAAAGTTTCATCCTTCAAGTCAAGTTACTGACATTTATGAACTTTTGTACCAATTGGGGGGGTGGGGGGGGGGGGGGTGCGCTTTGATAAGATATCCTCCTGATATTCAGCTGTGGAGTTTACCGGTAATCCTGTTGTTGGTTTTGTCTCCAACAGCAAGTCTAGAGGAAAGAGGAGCTTGCTGACTGGTTTGCAGCAAACAGCCAACGACAGATGGTGTTGGACAGAAGATTAGTTATGTGTGTTCATGTCAATGAATAGGAAGCCAAAGGCGACTAAACAAATTCAGGGGAAAAAAAGTTTGCCTTAAAAGTTCTGTGCTGCTATAAATGTCAACCAGAACTGTTATTGTCTCTCCCCTAACGTTTTTCATGCAGAAATGACCTGAAAAAGAAATCATTAGAGAAAGGCAGCAATCTGATTCAAAGCCATGAAATTTGCCATCCTGCAGGGGGCAGCAATTCTGTTGTTTTTCAGCTGGTACCGTCCACTCAGTCCCCATGATTCTGTCCCTGCTGGAGGAAAAGTTCCAGGTTTAGTTGCTGTCGTCATGGCGATCAGGTTGGCCTTCGGGGACCAGGTTTTGAGTCAGCACCCGTTTGTTCTCTGTCTGATGGAGCCCGCTTGGCACGTGTGGATCAGAGTGCAGAAACCTGGAACCCGGTTCCTCCGGACGACTATGAGGGATTGTCTCTGGAGTCTCTTCCAGTGTGACTTCTCAGTGTTGGGCTCATTTTTTCCTAGTAAAGAAGGCTTCCTGTGTTTCATGTGGAAAGAAAGTTGGGCTCTGTGCTCACTGCCACTGAGCGTTCTCAGAAATGTTGTGTTCAAGGTCTGCAGAAGGTGCAGGAGGCCTGTAGTTCCCACAGTCATGTGGTGTTAAAAGACACTGGCGTTATTCAAACTAATATTCTGTGTGACAGAATGAAATGACTGTTTTCCCCCTCCTCTGACACAGGACTAGTCTGCATGAGATACGGTCTCAAGGTCTCATGCATTTGCTGCTAACCTGCTTCTTTTCAGCTCAACAGAAGAATGAAGAATGAACTCTTTTCTTTTAATTAAAGAACTCTATTTTAATAAAGCTAATCAAACAAACATGCCCACGTCATCTTTAACGCCAGTTCAAAGCGTTCTAGAGAAGTTGTCGGAGTGGCCAATCCGTAACTTTCCTCTTCAGCCGAAAGAACCGACGACAAGCTGGAAAATCCATTCACCGTCTCATCCACCTTAGTTACACCACACATTTAGTGTTTAAAGTCAGTCTAGTTTAACTTGTTAGTAATAAAATTCTTAACTTTTAAACTTGATTCTCTCTTCTGTTGTCTCTGAGTGAATACGAAGCTGCTATCTAATCCCTGCAATAAAAAGATCCAATCTTCTGGTTT